AACAATCTGAAAATCGGTTGTTTTCACAAATAAAGTCGGGAAGAATTTTCGATATTTTGTGCGCGTTTCTAATAAAACAATGATTCCACTCGCGCTTGTTGGATATGAGATGATTATAGCCAACTCGGCGCTACGCGCCTCTTCGGCTATCTATCATTTTATATCCAACGCGCACTCGTGGAATAATTGTTAAGTAGATCGCGATGTCTTACCAGAGCGAATGAAGCCGTGTCAGTGCATGTGTTGTGTAATATTTCTTCGTAAAATTAATGGCAGAGCTCTCTGGTCGCCACTTGCCGACATGTTACGTAGCCCGGTTATAACCACTTTTTTGTTTGTTTTTTTTTTTCAGGTCTGATCTCTTAATTAATACTTTAATTCTAGTGACATGCAACTGGGGCTAAGAAGGTGATGCTTGGGGTTCGCGTTCTCCTGTGAGATATTGCTCATGGACTTTAGAAAAGTGATGCCATCGGTTCTTGTTTACTGTATGCGAAAGTAGTGCTATTTTTCAATGGAATTTAAACGGAAGGAATAATCTTTTCTTCAGTTTGAAGGATATCAGAGGAGCTAAGTAATTAATCGGAGCTCGGGGCGGAGCCTACTCGTATAAAAAGTTGTAAGAACCCCAGGGTGTTGCCTATGGATCGACTCCTTTTCTCAACCTGCAAGCAGAGCCTTCCTTGTTTTCTTGTGGAGAAAAGGAGACTCTGTCCAAATCACGCAGGCCTTGGAAGTTGCTTAAGCCTGAACTTCCCGACTAGTCAATCACGTTTTCCCTCGTCACACTGGTTTTCCGAGTGCGAGCCTCCATTCGAACCTCCCGCAATAGAGAACACAGAATGCTCCAGTGATTTTAATAGTGGTCGCTACGGGTGGTGGTCGCTGATGAGAATCAACCCCAACGGTGATCTTTTCCCGGACTAGAACGGGTTCGGACTTATCTACTTAATCTTGGAATAGCATTTATTGCTGGTAGTTTTTTATTTACTATATGAATGGCTCCTTATTGTAACTAAAAGTTCCGCGTATACCCTGACTTTAGGAGTACATCAAGTATACCACAAGGCTAAAACATAGTTCAAACCATGCTTCAGGATCATTTATCGCTGCTAAAAGGTTCAGAACAGTGCAGAATTATAACGACGCCAAAAAAAGTTAGCGGTCGTTGACGAGACAATGACAATCGTAATGATATATTTGAATATCACAAACCTTGAGTTTGCGATTTGTAAGTTTTCCTTTGTTTCCATGAGGATGAACCACTGCAAAATACCTTTCAATGGCGATGACAAGCAGAGTGATCATGGAGGCACGGCCACCAACCCACGATAAGTTCGTTCCTGTCAGCGTTGTACATAATAATGTGCCAGCAAGGCCCTCAGGATGGTAAACATGGTGGCGTAAAATGATATTGGGTACCTCAAATATCGCGTAAGAGATATCTGCTGCTGCTAGGTTTACAAGTAGATAGTTGAAAGGAATCCTGCGGGATAAGGTACAGTTCACAATAAGGACGTTAATAGGCGATAAAATAAGCTGCAGCTTTCTCTGGCCGCGGGCAACATAAGACGCCAACACCCAGTAATAAATGGTACAAAATTTACGTTCACGGCTTATGGGGTGTTTACATGACACCGGGGCGACTTTCGCGCTGGACCGAGGTCACTCCCGTTCCCTCTCATGGCTCTACATTTAGTTACATGATACCACCACAAAATGTCATGCCAGCGCGAGTCACCCCAGCGTGATTTCACCTCGGTTGTTGTACCGGGGCGAGAATCTCTCTCCGGTACGCGTGTATTTTATCAACATGAAGTGTACCTTCAAATAGCGAGATACGGAAATGACGCAGTCATCATGTAAACGCGATACGAAATTAAAAAGTCATTTTGGTATGAAACTCGCGCCGGTGCGAGTTTTCTCGTGTAAACACCCGCTTATTTAACCCACGGCTAGGTCTTGCCGTGGCTTATCCTGGCCGAGGAGTTTTGGGCTGGGCTTATCCTAGCTGCGGCTTACCTTGGAGGTGAAAATGTTTGTATAGATACACTCAAACGTTGTCCGCGGCTTGCTGAAGCCGTGAACGATTGCTGCGCTGTTTTCAATAGCGCTGCGCACAAATTCTAAAAATAGTCCACGTCTGAAAAGACCCCCCGCATGACTCGGCAAACTTTGCTTCTCACTCAAAGGCTTTGTATGCGCGTTTACCTAGTGTTGAGTCCAAACATTGTTTTTTTTGTGTATTTTTATCGGGATATAGTAAACAACAAGCGTTGCAGCTGGGAAGAATGTGAGAGGGACTCAAGGATCCCTGAAAAAGTGGTCTGAGCCACTAAATAAATGAGAGAAATACGGAAAGAAAGCGAAGTACGCTGTGTTTTGTGGCAGTGATCAGGCAGCCGGGAAATGTTTTGAAAGAGGTAGATACATGACAGTGTTAAATTTATCCCATTTTCACGAATTCTCCGATTTAATTCTTCTAAAAACATAAACTGCTTCTGCTTCTTCTTCTAAAAACATAAACTGCTTAGAAACCTCAAGCGATTTCAAACATTGCCCATGGTTTGAGGTAGACTCAATCGTCGACCTTGGGCATTTTGTTAATTCTCATTGCTTTCAACACTTCACCGGCGTGACGCACTGAGTCAGTTTTCAGGATATCCAGAAAAATTATCATCTAAACCTCCCTGACACATTTGATGTTTTTTCGCAAACGCCAAGCAATTCTAAAACAGGTTTGGTCTTGTAGTGGAAGAATTCCCCGAGCTTGAGCATATTCGAATCTCGAATTATATTTCCCTGGACGTTCCTCAAATTTCGAAACTGGAACGCTCCTAAAAACGCTTAAACGGCGAGCAGAACTGATCGCAAACTGGGCGCTTCCATAAAGCGTTCTTGCGACCTCTAGCAGAGATGGCCAATGTTTGTCTGAGTGTCGGTGGGGGTCACGTTTTTGTGACGTCATCTGTGCGCAGCGCTATTATATCCCAGATCTTCATGTCCGACAGACGCGCGCTGCAGTAGCCTTCCACGCAGACGTTCTTAGGGGTTCGTCACGCGTTCCTGCCCCACTAACGTCTGCTGATTTGAGCGGAAAAAAACGAAGACCAATCACAGCAGACTGCCAGTTCTGGGAAGTGCACTTTGGACCTTGAGAAATTTCGCGCTTAACTTAGCTCCAGAAAAGATCAGAAAAGTCTCATAAAAGCTTATAAGCAACAACGACGGCGACGGTTACAAGAAAACTTTGTAGCGATTATATCCATCTTGTTCAATTCGTCGAATGTTGGCACTTTTTTCTGGAGTTGAATCCTAAAGACCGTATCGCAGTTCGAGAAAAGAAAAAGAAAGTCGTTTTCTTGTATTTACGTCCTCTATAGAACGTGAAATTAGGCATTTTCACGTCGTCAAGCGTGCAGTGATGCACGTGCAGAGTTGTTGTTTTGCTAAACTAAACTTAAAAAATTAAGTTGAAACGAAAAGAACAGTGTAAAATATGGCGATTTTCCTGACCGAAGCCAATCCTTTCGCATTTTCGTCGCTCCAGCCATTGTTGAAAATTACCCGAGGCACAAAAACAATGGAAAAAAACATTGTTGGAAACAATGCCAGTGAATAATGAGGACGCTCGTTGTAAACACAAAATATGGGGGGGGAAATTGGTTATATTTGAGGCCCAATCCTTCTCTGTTTACAATGTTCTTAAGACTTGCAGGGTATATTTATAGACGATTGATCTCGGAATTGCAAAATTTATAAAAAAATTTATCGGGCGGTTTTTTGAAAAATGCGAAATTTGTAGGCGTTTACCAAATTACGTGAAAAAACTGTAACAAAAGCAGCTGAATGCAAGTTAATAAAATTCTTCTTACTAGCGATCGCCCGGAGCAATTCCCCTCTTTTCTTGTACGCAGTTTTCAATGAAATCAAACCACTATGAGATGAAGCCGCGTTTCCAAAGCTTATCATTTTCTTAAAGAATTAGCTAATTGTGTGGATAGCATTGGATAGCATGCTATTTCACTGTTTTTATAATGCTTGAAACTTCGTTTCAAAATATCTCGAAAACGCTCTCATAGAATTTGTTCAAACTTTGCAATAATTGGCTAGGTATAAACTCCCTGAAGTGATTTCTTAAAAAAACTCTTGGTTCAGAGAAACACAAAGATAAATAAAAAACGTAATGGCGTTGTTACGTTGCCATGGCGACTCCGATTGCAATAAAACCCAGATCATAAGAAATTTTCATCTTTATATAATACAGTTGTGGTAATCTTTTTCCCATATCTTTACTCATGGCGACGTAGTTGATGCTCAAACTCGAGAGGTATCCCCTCAAAAAAATCCAGTGGAGCCACCTTAAAATAAGAATTCGCGTTTTTTCAGCCTTCATCCCGATTTTTCTAGCTAACTTGCTATGTCAAATGTGGAGTAGAATGACCCCAAGAACTCCATATTTAAGTTCAGAAAGTTTATAACAGAAAGAAAACTTTGTCGTCGCTTGTTAACGTCCTCCATAAAGCGTGGTACAGAAATGTACAAAAAAATGTGCTGAACATGGAGAGTTAAAGTTGTTTTTTGCTAATAAATTAGACCTATTTATTTTCTTGCCGCTCTCGTTTCTGTTTTTAGTTGGAGCGTGTTCCATTTTAGTTTTTCATCGAAATGTGGCGAATAAATAGTTATTTCGAGCTTAATCAAAGGCAAGCTCACAACCTCCACCACAGCAAAAAAAAAAAAAAACAGTTTATAAGCGACCTTTGCTTAAAAATCCAACTCTCCCCTGAAATATTTCTTGAACGCACTTTACACAGCAATTTACTTCAGTAAAATCCGTAACTAAGAACCTGATCACCCACTGTGCTTATTCTCAAGTTTGCCTAAATGGCTAGTTAGGTTTTTCTTATTTTCTGAAGAAAAAAATGCTTTGAGCTTTTAGTGGAACCTCTGTTTTAAATTTTAGAGTAAACATGTTCTTGTATAGAGGGGGCCTAACTGGCAAATTTTAGCCTAACAGGTTCTTAAAAAATAGGTTTTTGGTTGCAGGCTTTTACTGTAATCCATCGAACGTCGAACTCAGCCAAAAATAGCTATATGAATATAGACTAATTTGAATTGGTTTCTGTACCTCATGTCTCGATTTCTCAGCACTACGGCGCATACGAGACAGTTTCCCACAGTGCAGGTGATAATAAATATCGAGTTTGCTATTGTTATGGCAACATGAGGTGGATCGGACATCTTGAAGGATATCCAAGTCCTCTTCACTTAATCTGGATGGAAATAATAATAACAACAACAACATCAACAATAAATTAAGGTATTGTATCTGTCATGGCGTCACTTTGTTTGCGAACCTTAAATAATGTAATTCAAACCCAAACCAGAAAAACAGCCAGATAGATTTTAAACGGCAAAGATAACATAAGAATTTACTCTGCTTTTACTAAAACGTATCCAGGGCTATCTGGTTTGAGTTTACCGCACTTTTTCTGTGCTGAGCCTCTCTCTTCCACTGAGGCCTCTTTGTGTTGTGGGGAGGCTGTGGAGAAAGAAAAAGAGAGCGCGCGGGGCACGTCGTCGTCGTCCCCGGCGCTCTTCCTACTTTTTCGATCATTGCTATTTTTATAGGGATACCCAGCGGAGCTTCTGCGGAGGAGAGAGGTGCTGGGCACAAAAATACCTTTGTTTCTCTTTAAATCTATCAGGGACTTTAAGCAATGACTATGGGAGCGGTGGGAGCCGGAAGTGATTTTTCCAGCCAGGTGTCAAATATGCAAGTAGGGAGTTAAAGATACCACGACTGCGATAGCGGGGAAAACAACGCTTAAAAAGTCACCTCATATCAATTTCTGAGTCTTTATCGCAATCATACCAACTCAGTTACTTTTCAAATTTAGGCGAATTCTGCTGAATTTGAAGTCGTGCAGTAACACCTGGCGGCAAAGAAATGTACAAAAAAGGATTGTGATGCAAATTGTGCAAAATTTTTAAAGGTTTTCTTGTGTTTTATCAGCCCTCGTTTGACACCACTTACTGAAGTGCATCCTCTTAATCGTCCACTATATTTTGTTATTTTGTGTATTTATGGCTGTATTTTTCTTTTGCGTATTGGATGTCGCGCCTGACACAGAATTTAAGGATCATAATCGTAATAATTTTTTTAGTAGGACCTTCAGGCGTTAACATATCCACTGTTAGAAAGAAGTTTATTAGTACGCAGCTGTTGAGTGTCTATAACTAAATATATATGTCATTTAAAACCACTGAGACAACAAGTTGAATTTTAGTTTCTGTCAAAATATAACACAAAACACAGCCGCTGAAAACGCAGTTGAGTAGGTGATATTCGATGTTACGCGTCGTGTGTTCGTTTATGAACGCTGAAAATAAAACTGAACTACACATGAATCTACTAAACTACGACGAACATGGAAAGATATAAAAATACCTGAGATACAAGATGATAGCTTTTTGATTGCTTATTTTATCTTCATTTGCGCATATCGTGAAAGTACCGTCGTTATAACATAGGGGGCAGAATAATCATGGATTTTGTTTAATAACAGAGAAGATAATTTGGCAGTCAAGAGAGTATAATTACGCGATAGTGATTGGTCGAAGAGACTTCATGCCTGCTTCACAGACGTCGAACTTTTAAAACAACGGGAGCAAAATCTATTGGTTCTGTTCATCTCCATTAGATTTGGCACATGTGAGCTCGACGTATAATCATTGAAGCTGTCATACCGTCAATTAACAATTGCTATGCTTGGGTAAATGAAAGCTCAGAAAATCGATGAACATTAGCTTTCTGTGTATTTTCTTCCTGGATTGGAAATAAGCTTTGTAAGCAACAGCTATATTAGCTTCAAAATCCGATTTAGGAAGAATATATTTTTCTTAAGAGACTGTGAACTTCTCTGATGGACGTAATCTCTTCGTTAATAGCCCTCGTTCGATATTGATATTAAAATTCTAACATGAATCCGAGGCTTTCTGACGTTTTTCTTTGGTTTGGTTTTCTCTGTGCTCAGGTCTCTTCTGGGAATTGTGAGACAATGGAGTTGTGCAAAATTTGCATTTCTGATCCTAACCTCGAAGTTATGTTAGAATTTTGATAATTATATCGAAGGTGGGCTATTAGTGTGCAAATCTCCCAACGCGAGGGGTGTATTATTTTCGAAGTTAACTTGATCAATCTACGCCAATTTTAAGTCTCTGCGCGCTTGCAAGCAAGAAGCATTAAAGAAAATGTCAGCCAAAAAACAATTGAAGAATCACTCAGTAACTTATACATTCTATGTAAAATTTCTAGGTTTTGAAGCCAATTTTTCTAAGATATATCAGTATTTCTGGGAATTGCGAGACGAAAGAGTCGTGAAAAATTTGCAATTTCGACCCTAAAGCCTCGGAGTCATGTTAGAACTTTAATATATCCAACGTGGGCTATTATGCAAACATTAAAAGGCAATATGCGTGGCTAATAAAAATGGGCGATCCCGCACCTATTTGAAAGAACTTGTTTTTGATTAGCTGGGAAAACAATAGGGGTTGTCACATAACAATGCCCCTCTCGATGAAAACAATGAAAGTGCAGTTGAAAGGGGATCAGTGAAATAAGAGGTTTAGAACGGTCCAGGTCTACTGATAAATATTTCTGTCTGGTTTATTTGTTTTTGCATTTTTATATTAATAATAACGTTATTGCAATAAGGCGAGTCTGGGGTTTCGCTATCACTGAAAGCGAACCTTTAATTTTTTACAAAACAAAGAACCCTATCGAGCTGAGATATAGTGTTCAAAAGGATGTTACTAAAACGGGGAACGTGGAGCAGAGGACGAGAAAATGACAAATGGGAACAAAACCTGCTTTGAACCTTAGCCCTATCAGTACTTCATTTCCAGTTCTCTGCTTTGTTCCCATTTTTCATTTCCCCCCTCCCCATGCTCGTTCTTTCTCCCCCATTCCCCGTTTAAGTAACATCAATGATTGAAAGCGACTTGTATCTGATCAAAATTAGCTAGTTTCAGGCTTTCAGATAGTGGAACGCGGGAGAAAAGATAAACAGAGAGAAGAAGAAGAAGAAGAAAAAAGAATGGAAGAATCGGGAGAGCGCTCGCTTCTTTTTACACTCGCGATCCACAATCTGAAAGCCGAAGCTGAGATTGACGGTTGTTATTTCGAATTGATGACGTCACAAAGACACTAGCAATAGACCACTCCCAATATATTAAAATTCATCTTTGTCTTTCAGACTTGGGCGAATAAAACGAAAGAAATTACCTCAACATAGAAATTCCCGCTATTTTTAAAGTCGCTTGAGGCAAAAGGTTTAGGAAAAGAGCAAATATTTTGTGCCAGGGTAGGCTGAAACCGCACACTAATGTTTTCGTCCACATGAATTCAGTGTGGTTGTTTCCGCGGTTTGGATTCACGCATCCACACAAATACGCTAGGCAATTTTCATTTGTTAAGTACTAGTTTTCTTTCCAATCTTCTTCGATGGCCAGGCCGGTCCGGACGTTGTCTCCCCACGCACTTGTAAACCCTGGATGAACCCAGAGTCGTCATGCACGAGGTTGAGAACGAAGCCCTTTTATACTTCTTCGTTTCAAAATTTGGATGAGATTTAGCTTACTCCTAAAATGTCTTCTTGTTGTGGTAAAAGTCGAAATTTTGATTTCAATGCAAGCAGCAAGACTGGAAAAAAGTGCCAGCAAACAGTGAAAGCAGAAGGTTGTTGTCCGCTATATATTTTGAATTTGCAATTGCTCCTTTAAGCCCGGGCCGGAGTTTTTGACCTCTTTGAATCCCAAAATACCCGGTCTTCATCGTCTACAAAAATTCGCAAATCCTTCGGATAAATAAATCAACAGTGGAGAGTGATTTGGAAAATATTCGATTAAGGTGAGCTAGGCTTAGCTAAATAATTCCCAAAATATGGCCTAAAATTCTTTCCAGAATTTCTCGAATAAAGCTCTAAAATTCTTTTAGAAATGTCTAAAATTCTCCACAAACTCTCTAAAATTCCCAAAATTTCTCAAAAAATTTCGGCCTTTTGGTGAGTAACCGCTGATAAGTTGTAGGGTAGACGACTCTAATGATAAGCCGCTGATTTGTTGTGCTCAGTAGACAGTGCTCTAGACATGCTGCAGCGTAGCATTTAAGCAGACCGAGCCCTCCCGTCGGTAGGAATACAACATTAACGTTTTGTTAACGTTTTTGCCATGAAATATTGCCAAAATGTCGGGTGAATGTTCAAATTGCTCTAAAATTCTCGAATTGGTCGATTTTTTCCCTGAAATTCCCGAGATTTTCTAACTCAGTCTTTTTGATGTCTAAAATTCCCCCCAAAATCCCGGAATCATGTAGCTAAGCAAGGCTAGGCTAAGCCTAAGGTGGGCGGATTCTATGTTTCGTGTGGACGGGGAACCGATTCGTGTAAAACAATACGCGTTTTCCGAAATATCCGGAATCTATTGTGTAGATGGGGCCACTTGAGGATGGATTCATTTGCAGCATACTTGTTTAGACGTCGCAATCGCTCGCTAGAGTTTCCCGGGTTAGGGGTGTGTCATAAGCGCCTTCAAATCCTTCGCTACTCTGTATTAGTCGAGAGACCTTTTTATGACCCTAACTCATTTTATTTCGCACTCACAATTAATTATTTTTTCTTAAATTGATTAAGTAATAATTGCACAATAGAAATTAATGAATCGATTATTATTATTATTATTAATTTGTACCATACATGTAGACCGCGCAAAGCCGACGTTGACACCCTGTTCAATGCTTCCGCCAAGAAAAAAACCCGTTCAAGACGTAAATTAATAGTTTTATTGTATGCCCCGAAAACCATACTCTGTTTGGCGCCGCATACCCGTTCAGACCAAATAAGGGAGAACCCCTGGGACTCAGGCCGGTTCAGTAAAACTAGTAAACATGCGTCTGGTATTTTTTATCAACTAGCAACAAAAATAATGTACAACAACAGCAACAAAAACAGATAATCTTAATCTTACTGATGATCTTAAAAGTTTATTTTGCTACCTGTGGCTTGTTGAAAACTAGTCAGGGCGTGATGATTTAACAATCGTTGGGATAAAACATGATGTTCTTGTGATTGTGTGTTGTCCATATTTCTAATTTCTATAGATCTACAGGTCGAACAGTATTACTGACAACTTGAGTCAAAAACCGCTCGAAGAAACACTATTCTGTTCATTAGGGCGCCTTATTCGGGACTTAATTGATTCCCACAAAAAGTCGAAGAACTCGCAGATAGTCAGTACACTGCAGCCAAGAAGTAAGCCCATATTACCACCAAGTTCACCTGAAATTGTAGAAACGGACGCGATCATTTGGTATTAAAGCTTCCGTTTTCCTTTGTTATGCGTATTATTAATTTACAAGCATGAACGAGATAGAAACGACATATGTTGGCACACGCATTACTAGCTTGTTCCAAGCGATCACCCACTGTCCCTATCCCCACCGCCCCGCTGTGTCTTCCCGTGCTCACTTTTGATTGTGCTGTCCCCACTATCTGAAACCCTGCAAAACCCTAATACGTGAAATGAATCCACAGCGGGAAGTTGGTAATTTTCTAATGGTGTGATGAAACGGAGGACAAGCTTTTAAAGACTGTATCAACTTTTCAAAACTTTAAGAAAGCGGGTCATTGATATACATTCGCGGAGTCAATTGCTGAAAAGCTGGGAATTAATGAATCCCAGTCGATCAGAAGCGCGAGTTTGAGAAAAATTGTTACACTGTTGCTAGAACAGTCAGAAATTAGAAGCCGCTGCCGAAAGTAAGAATACTGATTCTCGCCTTTGAGTGTCTAGTAAGATCTGACCAGTGCATGCAGCCGTATAGTTCGCTCCATATAAGAGAATCCAAATCCGGGATCCGGGAAATTTGTGATTGTGGAATCAGAAATCCTGACCTCTGGAATCAGGAATCCCTCTAACAATTGCAATCTGGAATTTAAGCTCTAGTGACAAAGAGTCTAGAATCTGGAACTTAAAATCCGGAATACTCATCGTGGAATCCCTCCCCCTGATTCTGAATCCAACACGAATTCCGGTACAAAGGACGAGTAAAGTTGTTGTTGTACGACTATCGCAATGAACCGGTTTTGGATAAAAGAGAGTTTTTGCAGTAAAAATGTGATTAAACGTCCATTTTCACCTAAAGGGATTGTCGAGATCCAACAGTACACTAGAAAATAAAAATATATCCAATACTTTAATAATACAAGTGGGAAAAGCCTGCCCTTAATCAACAGGTCAAACACATCAATCTGACGCTTTTTCTATAGAGGAGTGCACGCGCATCTATTAATTTTGTTAATTTTAAATTTATGTAGCGTATTGTTTTCCAACGCAATGTAATGTACACTGTACATTGTAAGAGGCACGTTTTATCAGCTGTAAACTTTCATATCCGTCACACTGACGATGACTGATGTACCTTCGAAACATGTTTGTTAAAATTAAAAGTCTCTATTTTTGAAAATTTCTGCGGTTTTGCTGTTGTCTAGACCATTTAAATCCAATACTCATTTCGAAATTAAAGATAAAAATGACAAACAGAGCAAACAGAGTTGAAGGCATCCCTCAGGGCAACTCTCAACTGGGAGTAGTATAAACAACTGTCTCTGATCACATGAAAAATAGTTCGCCGTGCTTTGCTAAGGCTACGTTCACATTGCACAGGACGAATATTCGACCAGTTTGTGCGTTTGGTAGCCTTTTTCAGGCTCCAACATAGTGGTGAAGTCGTTCAGTAAAAAGTGATGCGAAAAACGCGCGGAGATTGAGGAGACTCTCTCTTATTTTTTCCCGCCGCAGCCGACATCTTTCCCAGATTGCGCGCGTCTTTTTTCACTTAGCTTGTTTTATTTACGTCCCCACTATATAGCTTTTGAGAGCCCGGCACAGGCTTTGCGTTTGGGGGCTCCGTTCACACGGAACCACCTTAAACGTACGGAAATTGAGATGCGCAGTCGTTCAACGTTCCCTGTGAACAGAGCGAAAATATTGAACTGTCCCGTGTGAACTAAGTGCATGGTCAAATTTTGCCGCCGGTAGAAAATTCATTCGGTGCAGTGAGAAACCTCGAAGCGTGAGGCAAAACAAAGTCATTAGAAGGACACACATACTGCTTCAGTCGTCTTTTCCGTGCGGAGTGTTGCTTAATTGTTCTCTTGACATTTACCATTAGTTGAATGAAATTTTTCTGCAATATTAGACAGTCGAAGCTCGCTACATCGATGGACAAGGGGACTGGCAAAATCAAACAAAACTGAATGTTTTCAAAAGTTTTGGGCAAAACATGCATGTTCGCTACATTACGAGACATGTTCGTTTACATATGGAGGTTCTTTACCATATATTTTACTATTACTGGGGTAAGGTATGTCCTCCGATACACAAAGGACTTCTATAGAAGTTTTAACCAGCATATCACTGATGTTTTTCCGCTTACTTTTCCCCTTCACTTTTCCGGAAACAAAGGTGTGTAAGTTAAGAAGACTAGAGTAAGCTTTGGTGGGCATTTAAAGTGTTATCGACGCGCATGCGCAGGCGGTGAAGCTTCCCTTAAAACCTAACCGCAAGTAAGGTTGGACTGACAAGGCAAAGGAAACAATAGACCTTTCCACGGTTTTTTTCCAACTTTCGACATGGAAAAGTTGGGGAAAATCCGTCAACTCTGCTGGACAGAGCTACTTTAAATTAGAAATATTGCCAAGAGCGAAAGTGATTTGTTGAAAACAAACGAAAAGTCACGCAATTTTATAGACGTACCATTCGTGAAAATTTCTATAAATTTTCGAAACTTTGTGGAGCTATAACCTCGCTCGCTTTTAATGGTATCACTTTCAAACTTGGCAAGCTTACTTATTTTTATACCCTTTTTTTCCAGTGGTGCCGAAGGATTTTCCCCAACTGGTCCATGTCAAAAGTTGAAAAAACCGTGATCTCCGTAGCATCAACCGATCGTGGATCGCAGGCAACAACCATTCATGGCGTGCGTAGGATTATTTTTAGTTCTCTGTATGGGCGTTAAGCGAGGTCTATCAAATAGAACATAATGCTGCATGGCAATCTTCAAGTATCTTTTGATATCTGAGAAAATTGGGCTCAACCAGTTTACCCTATAATGTTTTATTCATGAAAATTTTTAATTACCGTTGTACTTTATATATCTTTAGGCATTTTTGCTCAATGTATTATTGTTATTGTAATTTTTTTTTATGTAAATGATGATTCCTGCATTTGTATATATTTCAAGTTATCCCTTTTAACTTATATTTCTTTTGTATAAATTTTTGACCGATTGATTTTCACGAGAGCGTACCAACGAGTTACGATTCCTAAGCTCTTTGTGTGTATTACTATATCTAATGTCTATGTCTATATATAAAGGTGTCTCCCTCTACCTTAAACCTATCTCTATCCTGTCTCCCTCTATCTTTAATTTGTGCACAGGGCTTTCCCCTTAGAAAATGGGAAGGCGCGCCCCTTCCAGATTCAAAGAGGGAAGCCCTGTGTGAGGAAGAGGTTTAAAAAAACCATATATATTACGAAAAGAAGTGTAAACGCAACAGCAAAGTCCAGTTACTGCGGGTGATCATTATTCTGCTTCACCAACATGTTTGCCATCTCGACTCCCTGTGGCTTACGCTCGGAAGTAACAAAAGTCTTGGCTGCCAACGAACGTGAGCCACTGCCGAACATTTCTTTCATCTTCTGCCGGAATCTTTCGTTTATCAGGGCGTAAGCAAAAGGATTGACAGCAGCATTGAACATAAGCACTACGTGCGCAATAGGAATTGCTAAAGGACTCAGGTTAAACGAGCTATCCTCCAAAATGTGCAGTACAGTGTCTCCTCCCCAAGAAATTGCAAAAAAGGCGCTGACATAGACAACCATCAAGGTGACTCGCTTCCGCAACCTCAGCACAGCCTGTGTACAAAACAATGATACATTAGAACAGGCACCCAAGCTTGCAATATTGCTCATATCAGATAATTTTGAGAATATATCCAGATAAATATTTAAAATATTTAAAAAACGTTTATGTTGTTTAATCTTTTCTTCTTACAGACCGTTAACTTCTGAGTGTTACCGATAAAGGTAAGACCCCGTTTACACGGATACGGACAAATTTTTGAGCGGGAGAAAACTTTCACGGATTCGCCTTTTGTTTACGCGAGACCCGCGCAACCGTGCAAGTTTTTTTACCTGAAATAGGTCAAAATTTTTGACTCGTACGGTTCCAATTTTACGCGAACTCGTGTAAACACCTAAACCGTACAAATTTAATGTTTCATTCGTTTCATTCAGTCGTGCAACGACTGTTAAGAAATGTATAAAAAAGGGTGTTGTTCGGTTTTGCTAATATAAAGCTATTGTTTTTTCTTGCCGTTGTCATTGCGCCGTCGTCGTTGCTTAAGCTCCCTATTGCTGTGATCCAGAAAGTTTGCTACGATATAACGTAACGTAACGTCACACTTCTTGGGGTCTTCTCCATTAAGAGCGTTTCGCAGGCTATAGAAAGTCTAGAAAGCTTAGTACCTGTTGGTGATGTGTGACTGCATTATCACTTCGGTTGAACCACAAGGAATACACAATTCGGGCGTATAGCACAACCAACACTGCTACGATAACGAACTTTTAGAACACGAAAAGCATTATCAATGGGCTCTTTAGTCTCTGTAGGCAATGAGGAAACACAGCGGTGGGAAGTAGCAACATAAGTTTTCTTCGCAGATGGGAGTCTATAAATAAAAGCGATGATCCAAATACCGGGAATAATAACCTAAAACAAGTATGTACAATGGTTAGGTCTGATTAGCTGTTACAATAGGGCCATTTAAACGAGGAAAAATAAGACGCGTCTTTAAAAAGACGCGGACTGTACCATTTATAAGAGCATGTCTTATCTAAGACGAGAACAGCTCGTATAAATGGTTCGCGTCTTATTTCTGTTCTTGACTCGTTTTCATGTGAATGTTGCCCGTGGCAACGGCAATCCAACGTGGCGCTCCAAAAATTAGCGCATGCGTACTATGTGTTCGCGTCTTATGTAAGACGGGAAGGTCATTTATACGAAGTTTTTCTCGTCTTAGCTAAGACGCGCCTTATCTAAGAACAGGTGTTAAGGGCTGTTCTAAAATAAGATGCGTCTTAGCTAAGCCGCGTCTTATTTTAGACGAAATGTGCCGTTTATAAGGAAAGTTCGCGTCTTATTTAAGACGCGTCCTATGTAAGACGCGTCTTATTTTTCCTCGTATAAATGGCCCTAATGTGATAATTTTGTAGCAAGGTTTTGTTTCATGGTGTAGCCACTTTTATTAAAAACTGAATCATTGGATAATGCAATTCTAGAGCTCTGATTGGCTTAGCCATCATGGTATATGAGCCATTATACCATGCTCTCGAAATATGGTAACTGTAGCTCAAAATTAAAAACAATCTGAAAATCGGTTCTTTTCACAAATAAAGTCGGGAAGAATTCTCGATATTTTGTGCGCGTTTTTAATAAAACAATTATTCCACTTGCGCTTGCGGGATAGGAGATGATTATAGCCTACTCGGCGCTACGCGCCTCGTCCGCTATCTATCATTTTATATCCAACGCGCACTCGTGGAATAATGGTTAAGTAGATCGCGTCTGACATTGTCTTTCCAGGGCGAATGAAGCCGTGTCAGTGCAAATGTTATATTTCTTCATAAAATTAATGGCAGAGCTCTCTGGTCGCCGCTTGCGGGCATGTTACGTAGCCCGGTTATAACCACTTTTTTGTATTTGTATTTTTTTTTCAGGCCTCTTGATAAATACTTTAATTCTAGTGACATGCAACTGGGGCTAAGAAGGTGATGCTTGGCGTTCCCTGTGAGATATTAATATTGCTCATAGACTTTAGAAAAGTGATGCCATCGGTTCTTGTTTACTGTATGCGAAAGGAGTGCTATTTTTCAATGGAATTTAAACGGAAGGAATAATCTTTCCTTCAGTTTTAAGGATATTAAAGGAGCAAAGTAATTAATCGGAGCTCGGGGCGGAGCCTACTCGTATAAAAAGTTGTAAGAACCCTAGGGTGTTGCCTGTGGATCGACTCCTTTGCTCAACCTGCAAGCAGAGCCTTCCTTGCTTTCTTGTGGAGAAAAGTAGACTCTGTCCGAATCGCACACGCCTTTGAAGTTGCTTAAGCCTGAACTTGCCGACTAGTCGATCATATTTTCCCTCGTCACACTGGTTTTCCGAGTGCGAGCCTCCATTCGAACCTCCCGCAATAGAGAACACAAAATGCTTCAGTAATTTTAATAGTGGTCGCGACAGGTGGTGGTCGCTGATGAGAATCAACTCCACCGGTGATCTTTTCCCGGACTAGAACGGGTTCGGACATATCTACTTAATCTTGGAATAGCATTTATTGCGGGTAGTTATTGATTAACTATATGAATGGCTCCTTATTGTAACTAAAAGTTCCTCGTATACCCTGACTTGCGGAGTACATCAAGTATACCATAAGGCTAAAACATAGTTCAAACCATGCTTCAAGTTCATTTATCGCTGCCAAAAGGTTCAGAACATTGCAGAATTATAACGACGCCAAAAAAAGTTAGTGGTCGTTGACGAGACAATGACAATCATAATGATATATTTGAATATGACAAACCTTGAGTTTGCGATTTGTAAGTTTTCCTTTGTTTCCAAGGGGGTGAACCACTGCAAAGTACCTTTCAATGGCGATGACAAGCAGAGTGATCATAGAGGCACGGCCACCAAACCATGCTAAGTTCCTTCCTGTCAGCGTTGTACATAATAATGTGCCAGTAAGGCCCTCAGGATGGTAAACATGGTGCCTTAAAATGATATTGGGTACCGCAAATGTCGCGTAAAAGATATCCGCTGCTGCTAGGTTTACAAGTAGATAGTTGAAAGGAATCCTGCGGGATAAGGTACAGTTCACAATAAGGACGTTTATATGCGCTAAAATAAGCTGCAGCTTTCTCTGGCCCCGGGCAACATAAGACGCCAACACCCAGTAATAAATGGTACAAAATTTACGTTCACGGCTTAGGGGGTGTTTACATTACACCGGGGCGACTTTCGCGCCGGACCGAGTTCACTCCGGTTCCCTCTCATGGCTCTAAATTCAGTTACATGATACCACCACAAAACGTCATGCCGGCGCGACTCACCCCAGCGTGATCTCACCTCTGTTGTTGTACCGGGGCGAGAATCTCTCTCCGGTACGAAATCTCGCAACTGTATCATGTATACGCGAAACGACCACACGTTTCGGTGTGCTGATAGACTGGAACTGAAAGCGCACGCGAAATGTTTGCGATTTTGAATCACACGTGCATTTTATCAACATGAAGTGTACCTTCAAATAGCGAGATACGGAAATGACGCAGTCATCATGTAAACGCGATACGAAATTAAAAAGTCATCCCGGTATGAAACTCGCGCTGGTGCGAGTTTTCTCGTGTAAACACCCGCTTATTCAACCCACGGCTAGGTCTTGCCGCGGCTTATCCTGGCCGAGGAGTTTGGGATGAGCTTCAGAGTCCTAGCTGCGGCTTACCTTGGAGGTGAAAGTGTTTGTATAAATGCACTCAAACGTTGTTCGCGGCTTGCTGGAGCCGTGAACGATTGCTGCGCTGTTTTTAGTAGCGCTGCGCACAGATTGTAAAAATAGTCCACGTCTGAAAAGACCCCCCACATAACTGACCCAAACTTTGCTTTTTACTCAAAGGCTTTGTTTGCGCGTTTACCTAGTGTTAAGACCAAACATTGTTTTTTACGCGTATTTTTATCTGGATATGGTAAACAACAAGCGTTGCAGCTGGGAAGAATGTGAGAGGGACTTAAGGATCCCAGGAAAAATTGGTCTGAGTCACTAAATAAATGAGAGAAATACGGAAAGAAAGCGAAGTACGCTGTGTTTTGTGGCAGTGATCAGGCAGCCGGGAAATGTGTTGGAAGAGGTAGATACATGACAGTGTTAAATTTATTCCATTTTCACGAATTCTCCGATTTAATTCTTCTAAAAGCATAAAATGCTTCTTTAGAAATCTCAAGCAATTTCAAACATTTCCCTTGGCTTGAGGTAGACTCAATCGTCAACCTTGGGCATTTTGTGAATTCTCATTGTTTTCAACACCACACCGGCGTGACGCACTGACTGAGTCAGTTTTCAGGATATCCAGAAAAATTATCATCGAAACCTCCCTGAAACATTTGGTGTTTGTTCGTAAACGCCAAGCAATTCTAAAACAGGTTTGGTCTTGTAGTTGATGAATTCCCCCGAGCTTGAGTGTATTCGAATCTCGAATCACGGGCAATGTTTTGATTTGTTCTACATTATATTCTCCTGGGAGTTCCTCAAATTTCGAAACTAGAACGCTCCTAAAAACGCTAAAACGGCGAGCAGAACTGATCACAAACTGTGCGCTTCCATAAAGCGTTCTTGCGACCTCCAGAAGAGATGGCAATTGTTTGTCTTAGTCTCGGTGGGAGTCACGTTTTTGTGACGTCATCTGTGCGCAGCGCTATTATATCCAAGATCTTCATGTTTGTGACACGCGCGTTGCAGTAGCCTTCCACGCAGACGTTCTTAGGGGTTCGTCTCGCGTTCCTGCCCCACTAACGTCTGCTGATTTGAACGGAAAAAAACGAACACTAATCACAGCAGACTTCCAGATCTGGGAAGTGTACTTTGGACCCTGAGAAATTTCGCGCTTGACTTAGCTCCAGAAAAGATCAGAAAAGTCTCGTGAAAGCTTATAAGCAACAACGACGGCGGCGGTTACGAGAACATCACTTAAAAAGTGAAGTCGTGCTGCTGAAAACTTTGTAGCGATTATATCCATCTTGTTCAAAGACCGTATCGCAGTTCGAGAAAAGAAAAAAAAAGTCGTTGTCTTGTATTTACGTCCTCTATAAAACGTGAAATTAGGCATTTTAACTTCGCCAATCGTGCAGTGATGCACGTGCAGAGTTGTTGTTTCGCTAAATCTAAACCTAAAAAACTAATTTGAAATGAAAAGGACAGTGTAAAATATGGCGATTTTCCTGACCAAGGCCAATCGTTTCTCATTTTCGTCGCTCGAGCCATTGATGCAAATTACCCGAGGCACAAAAACAAACTACGTCATCAATGGACCGGTCTTGCCGCGAACTAAGATCTGAACCATTTACAAGAGCAGTTCCCATCTTGCGTAAGCCGTACTCGTATACATGTAAATGGTTTCTTTCGCGTCTTATGTAAGCCGCGGTTAGAGTAAGCCGGGGCTTTTCTCTCGTATAAACGCCCCTAATAGGGAGTTTACGCAACAACGACGGCGACGGCAACGAGAACGGCAAAAAAGCAATAGGTTTAGACAAGCAAAACAACAACTTTGCAAGGGCATGACGCTTTTTTGTACATTTTCCTGCCGTCGTTGCAAGACAAAAAACGTGAAGCTGCCTAATTTCACGTTTTGTCGAGGACCGGAACAAAAGACAACAACTTTCTTTTTCTTTTCCTGAACTTTGATGCAGTCCTTTAGAATTCAACTCCAAAATAATTTGCCACCATTTGACGAATTAAACTATAGATGGAATAAGCGCAATTAAGTTTGAGGCAGCGCAAATTCACTTTTTAAGTGACGTTTTCTTAGCGGTCGCCGTCGTCGTTGCGTAAACTCCCTAATATCCGACAGCCAAGGCGGCGAAAACCTCGCTTTAAATAAGAATTCGCGTTTTTTTCAGCCTTCATCCCGATTTTTCTAGCTAACTTGCCATGTCAAATGTAGAGTAGAATGACCCCAAGAACTCCATATTAGTAGTATAGGGCGCACCGGTTACTCCTCTTTTTTGCGCAGGAATCTCATTAAAGTGCGCAGGAATACATTAACTAGGTGACGTCATAGGCTATTGTCTTGATCTCATGAATAAAATGCGCAGGAATCTCATTAACTTGCGGTGGAATCTCATTAAGTATATCCAGTTTGACGGGTTTATCAATGATGTCATGTTTTATTTTTGTCTTGTGGCGGTCATGGTTGGTATTATTATTATTATATAACCGGTTGACAGGTTTTAGTTATTTTCGAAAGATGATGTCATATGTATTCCGGGGTACTATGATGTCATAGTTGTTTTGATTGGTTGACCGGAATTAGAAAGACGCTCACTGGCTGTCTCGTTTGACGAAGCATTCTGGTTGGTTGCCGTATTTTTTTATTGTTTGAACGGCATTGCTTCAAAAGAGACTTCATTTCTCTGTGATCTTGACAGAAACTGTCCTATTTCATCCTGTGGGGCGAAGTACCTTGTCAGATTAGCTAACCGTCTCGCGGATGTTAATCAGTTAGACCACATACAGCGAAGACAGTGTTTACAAGAGGCGAAACTGCAACCTAAAGTTAAAGTCGTCGTTTACGAAAGTGAAGCGGATAATTCCGGAAAAAATCACTATCACAATCCAGTACAGACACAAGAAACGGTGTACTGCGAACTGTCAAGATCACAGAGAAATGAAGTCTCTTTTGAAGCAAAAGCTAAAAGACCGACTACAAAGAACAAGACAAAGCGCAAGAAACAAAGAAAGTCGAACTCTTGGCTTCGAGGCCATAGGAAAATTGTGTAGACACGGAAGGATTATTCATTATTTTTCGAAATAGGACGGAAAAAACTGATTTGTTATAGTCAGTCAAAGGATTAATTTTCATTCCTTTTCCTTTCAAATCGCTGTGTATTTGACTCTTTTTGTTATTGACTTTTAATAAAGTTTTCAAAACGGTATCTCTCTTGTGGTTTTATTGCTAGCAATTATGAGTCGCGTGTTTTAATTGATCCTTGTTAAGTTATTTGTTTTATAATAATACGTCAAGATTCTCTCCCTTGGGTCCTTCCTGTAGAGCTAATTTGTATTCAACTTTGGGCTTGTGAACTCGCATAATTAACTGATTAACCGTGCGTGAAAATGACAAGACTTCAATAGTTTTTCATTTCCTCGAGATAGAAAGGAGAAAACAGTTCTGTAATAGTCAGACAAATTTACAACCCGATTTGACTTGCATGTTTGGAGCAATGTTTAAAAAAAATATTGGTGATAGTAAGACTTTTTCCTTAGCAAAGCGATTGCAAGAGTAATATGTTAAACGGAGAGCCCGCCTTATTTGGAAGACAGAATAGATTCTACATGAGCCAATCAGGGTTGAAAGAGCCCGGGCAAGTCTAGGCGAGCCTATTGTTCCTATTGTAGTAGAGTGATGCTCATTAGTAAACCTATCCACTTCATTATCTATGGAGGAAGACACTTAATTAGTATGCAGGAAATCCAAATTAGTATGCGGGAAGGCAGTTAGCAGGCTTTTATGCCGTTCAAACAATAAAAAAATACGGCAACCAACCAGAATGCTTCGTCAAACGAGACAGCCAGTGAGCGTCTTTCTAATTCCGGTCAACCAATCAAAACAACTATGACATCATAGTACCCCGGAATACATATGGCATCATCTTCCGAAAATAACTAAAACCTGTCAAACCGGTTATACCAACCATGACCGCCACAAAATAAAAATAGAACATGACATCATTGATAAACCCGTCAAACTGGATATACTTAATGAGATTCCACCGCAAGTTAATGAGATTCCTGCGCATTTTATTCATGAGATCAAGACAATAGCCTATGACGTCACCTAGTTAATGTATTCCTGCGCAAAAACAAGGAGTGACCGGTGCGCCCTGCACTACTCATATTCAAGTTCAGAAAGTTTATAACAGAAAGGAAACTTCGTCGTCGCTTGTTAACGTCCTCCATAAAGCGTGGTACAGAAATGTACAAAAAAATGTGCTGAACGTGGACAGTTAAAGTTGTTTTTTGCTAATAAATTAGACCTATCTATTTTCTTACCACTCTTGTTTCTGTTTTTAGTTGGAGCGTGTTCCATTTTAGTTTTTCATCGCAATGTGGCAAATAAATAGTTATTTCGAGCTTAATCAAAGGCAGGCGCACAACCTCCACTACGGCCAAAAAAAAAAAAACAGTTCATACAGCGACCTTTGCTTAAAAATCCAACTCTCCCCTGAAATGTTTCTTGAACGCACTTTACACAACGATTTCCTACAAAACTACAAACGAATAAAGTCAATCTTGTTAAAGGGCCATGATTAGTTTCACTATAATGTGCCCTTCTCCATTCTAACTTTCTTCTTTTATTATTATTATTATGTAGACGTAGTTTAAGCAACTTTGTACCAATTTATATAACAACTATTGTATTATTGTACTACTAATGTATTATAGGATGGAGTAAAAATAAAATACAAATACAAATACAAATACTACAGTTAAATCCGTAACTAAGAACCTGCATCACCCACTGTGCATTCTCAAGTTTGCCTGAACAGGTTCTTACATAAATGGCTAGTTAGGTTTTTCTTATTTTCTGAAGAAAAAAATACGTTGAGCTTTTAGTGGAACCTCTGTTTCAAATTTTAGAGTAAACAGGTTCTTGTATAGAGGGGGCCTAACTGGCAAATTTTAGCCTAACAGGTTCTTGAAAACTAGGGTTTTGGTTGCAGGCTTTTACTGTAATCCATCGAACGTTGGACTCAGCCAAAAATAGCTATATGAATACAGAATAATTTGAATTGGTTTCTGTACCTCATGTCTCGATTTCTTAGCACTACGGCGCATACGAGACTGTTCCCCACAGTACATGTGATAATAAATATGGAGTTTGCCATTGTTATGGCAACATGAGGTGGATCGGACATTTTGAAGGATATACAAGTCCTCTTCACTTAATCTGGATGGAAATAATAATAATAACAACAACATCAACAATAAATTAAGTTATTGTATCTGTCATGGCGTCATTTTGTTTGCGAACCTTAAATAATGTAATTCAACCCAAACCGGAAAGACAGCCAGATAGATTTTAAACGGCAAAGATAACATAAGAATGTACTCTGCTTTTACTAAAACGTATCCAGGGCTATCTGGTTTGAGTTTACCGCACTTTTTCCGTGCTGAGCCTCTCTCTTCCACTGAGGCCTCTTTGTATTGTGGGGAGGCTGTGGAGAAAGAAAAAGAGAGCGCGCGGGGCACGTCGTCGTCGTCCCCCGCGCTCTTCCTACTTTTTCGATCATTGCTATTTTTATAGGAATACCCAGCAGAGCTTTTGCGGAGGAGAGAGGTGCTGGGCACAAAAATACCTTTGTGTCTCTTTAAATCTATTAGGGACTTTAAACAATGACTATGGGAGCGGTGGGAGCCGGAAGTGATTTTTACCGCCAGGTGTCAAATATGCAAGTAGGGAGTTAAAGATACCACGACTGCGATAGCGGGGAAAACGACGCTTAAGAAGTCACCTCATATTAATTTCTGAGTCCTTATCGCAATTATACCAACTCATATACTTTTCAAATTTAGGCGAATTCTCCTGAAGTTGAAGTCGTGCAGTAACACCTGGCGGCAAAGAAATGTACTAAACAGGAGTGTGATGCAAATTGTGCAAAATTTTTCAAGATTTTCTTGTGTTTTATCAGCCCTCGGTTATGGACACCACTTACTGAAGTGCATCCTCTTAATCGTTCACTATATTTTGTTATTTTGTGTATTATGGCTGTATTTTTCACTTGCGAATTGGATGTCGTGCCTGACACCGAATTTGAGGATCATAATCGTAATATTTTTTTTAGTAGGACCTTCAGGCGTTAACATATCCACTGTTAGAAAGAAGTTTATTAGTACGCAGTTGTTGAATGTCTAGACCTAAATATCCATTTGATTTAAAACCACCCTTACCAAGCATATGTATTTTGAAACTGATTTTAAAGTATTTAAAATGTATTTTCAGTATTTGAACACTGTTTTCCTGTATTTTATTTTGGGCATAGAACCACTAACACTAGGGAACTTAAGAACCACGACGACGGCTTGGTCGACGACGACCGGAAGTGAGTTACACTGCACTGCGCAAGCGCGACCAGTAAATTGCGTCGTCGTGGTGTCGTCGACGTCGCCAAACAAAGTAGAATCACGTCGTCCTGCAATCCACAACCTTCGGCAGGTATAAATCCACTGTTTTAAGCGATTTTTGAAGGCCTTCGCATTTTCTTGTCCTCCTAAATCCAGGTATGGTTCCTTTTTTCTCCTAACAAGCGATGTTGATTGAAAATTCGACTAATGAAATGATTTTACTTTGAGGAATGACAACAGCTGAGGAGGCCGAGCGAGCGAACTCGTAAGTGAATTTTGATAAATTTATTTGTACGTATTTAGGTAAGGCAAATCAAATACCTTTAATATAGAGGAAATAAACTTTATATGGAAAACAGCTATCACATCAGAATGTCTCTTTTTCGAAATCTAGACTCTGACAGACACTCGGAGTCGGTCATCTCATTCAAGTTGAAAGTTGAATAATTTCGTACGGAAAGTAGGTGTATTTCCACTCGAAAAGGTCAGACAACACAAAAAAATTTTCATCGTCAATGAAATTAAACGTACGGCTTGAACAAATAAGATCTTGCATTGTTTTGAAAGACGCCATTGCGAAAAACGTTGTTGTGAACGAACGAACATCACAGTTTTACATCTGTGTTTACATTCAGTGTCGTCGTCATCGACCTACCGACCGACTGCATCTTAACATTCCTTTTTCCCGCCGAAACTGACGTCCTCGTTCCAGTCTTTTCCCAGTCAACAGACGTCGTCGCCGTGAACTTCGTTGTAGTTCTTAAGTTCCCTACTGTTACAAACAGAGTTCAAGTAGACTATTTGAAATATGTTTTAAGGGCTTAAAAGCGACTATATTTTAAATACTTTTAAATAGGGTACTTTAACACTGTTTTGAGTTGTATCTAAAATGTATTTTGAGACGCATCCACTCAGAAAGTTACAAAAAGCGTTCAACTAGACTATTTGAAATATGTTTTAAGACCTTAACTACTGACTGCATTTTAAATACTTTTAAATAGGGTACTTAAACACTGTTTTGAGGTCTATTTGAATTGTATTTTGGGCACACCACACTGACTATAAAAACAGATTATACTTAAACTATTTAAAGTCTTCTTAAAGACATGAAATGCTCACCTTATTTTAAATACTTAATATAGGGTGCTTATTACTTATTACTATTGAGGTGCAATATTGTGATGTATTTTGGGATACTTATACTCAGACTATAAAAGTAACAGTTGCACAAAGTTAAATTTTAAGCCTTCATCATGTCACGAACTCATAAATGACTCAAAACAAGCTGTCACATATTGTGGACCGGATTCTTCTCTCAGCAAAGTTCGAAGCTGACCGAAAAATTAAATCTCCCAGCAAATCAAAAAGAAATTGATAAAAGAGAAGAAAATTAGGAATAGATTTTAGCTTTGACTGACAACACGTAACTGTGACTACCCTGGGTTGCAGAGGATATTTTTTTCTTATCGACACTGAAAAAATATCCTCTGGAACCCAGGGTAAACTGTGACAGTGTGCCGATAAAGGATCAATCCGTTCCTCAATGTTCATTACCTGCAAGCTCTCTGCGAAAATCGCCGCCTAGATTTTAGCCGTGATTCAATTAATGCAGTTACGGGATATTCCATAAGTTTTTTTAAAAAGAAGCTTATTAAAATCGCATTTTAATTTCATATAGAAATTTTTCACAAACAGCCAAAGCCGCGGGCCGAGAACCGGATGCACGCGGTCAACGAAAAAAAGTCAAAAAAGTCTACGCAATAAAGCCAAAAAAACAGTAAAACGACAAACAGACACCAAAACTCAGTGGAATAGGATGCAGTTAAGACTTTTTTATTCATTTCATTTAAGAAAAAGTAAGGTTTAGCGTTATTTAGCGTTCGCAGATCTCAGTAATATATTTCTCATACAGAGTCTCTTATATTTTCAACGGTCGCCTGTAATGCGACACCGGCGCGTCCCCTATGTTATGTAAATTACTTTACAACCTTTTCTCGCAACGTGAGTTTGGGCCGCCTGTGACTGAACCCGGCAACTTGATTTCTGTTCTGGCGAACAGTTTTTCAAGATTGGCGTTAGGTGAAGAAATCCTCTTCCATCGACCCTCAGACGCCCGAGAAATCCATAATATCAGTGGTCAAGAGCTATTTGGTCCATTTGGGAAGTTTTAAACGCCATTTTTGTTTTTTTGTGCAAGTATTATCGAGAAAATTCGAAGTCATTGAGGAGTACCGTACGAAGCCAAGTTCGTTGTTGTCAGCGTTTCTACAAACGGATGAAATGTGGCCTTTAATGTGGTCATCTGGCTTTCGTTTCTGTGTATTATTAAGGTTCTCCAGTCAACGATCTACCTTTGACGGATATTTATTAAACGATAAATATGTAAAGAGAATTAAAAAGGGTTTCCTCGATACAGCCGTGGACTACTAATGGGACGCGAGTGAAGGTTATCTGCGACATGACTTCCGATTGTCTGCAACAATTTAGTTTATCGAGTGTCTGGAATCAGAAGGAGAAAACCGAGCAATCTTTTATTGTACAGGAAGTCGTGTGAGGTTTGAGGAAACAATCCATCGAACATGAAACGTTTTAACAGGCATTCGATTTACGACTCCGATCCGTAGTTGTATAGCAGAAAGTACTGACAACAGGCCGCGCGATCTTTACTGATGTATTTCACTGGGAATGTTCCTTGTATCTTTTCTGTATGAGCGTAGATTTTTAAGAATTGAACTTTTAAAAATAAAATGTTCTCTGAATGTTCCGTTTAACATCTGGTTTCTTTATCTGTTGAATCGATAGCGCTTGTTTTGAACACCCGAAGCAACGACTCGGAAGGAATTTTTTTATTTGCTGATAAGCAGTTGAAATTTATGCCATAGTGATGGGCTCCTGTTTATGCCTTTTTTTAAAGTTGTTCTTTTAGAATAATCTTTATACTTATACGTTATTTGGCTACTATTGCAATGAAAGCGTTTTATGATGAAGCGCTAAGAATTGCTTTCAAACATTGTTACGATTTTCAGCTGGTATCAATCAGACTGAGCTAAAGTGTTCATGCAGAGTGTTCACCGCGCTACCCGACCGCATGGCATGGCCTATTTTATTATAGCGCGCATTTAGCTGGCATTTTAAGCAAAACGTTTACCTCATCCTATACTGTGTGTTTTGATCACCGGTCAGGAGCTATTTGCAGGTATTTCTAAGTTTATATAGGGTAAACAGAGAGATCAGTACGTAAGGTTTGTTTACAAATTATTTTTGTTTGCGGATCGGAGACTGGTTTTTTAGCGTGTGTACGTAAAAATACACGTAGGTAAATGTTTCAAAGCAGGACAGGGTTGTTAATTTTATTCTTATCAGCTGCAACATTTATCTGAGGAATACCAGAGAATAAATATGAATTATGGGGATATATAAAATCGAACATAAACGTCCGGAAGACTCCCGCTTCGCGAACAATGAATCTTAAATTATGCAAATTTCCTCGCGTGCATCTTACTCGCTTCCGATTGGTTCAAAGACAATTAGCTACTGTCACAGCTCACACATGGGCACTATCGTGCACACTATCGTGCGCTTGATTTTACTGTTTGTAACGATCTTACAAAAGTACACTTCAACTCTGCGGATTGTCTGAACACGTAGATGTTGCTTTTATCACGAATCAAAAATGGGTATGACTCCTCAGCGACTGCTATCTGTGGTTCAGGCGATGCATGAGGTCTTCCAAAAGTCTTGTGAGTATTATATACAATGTTCCCTCTATATGCATAACATGTTACTAAGACGCTTAAATATACGCCATATGAGAAACAAATGAAGGGCAGTAAACATTTATATACTCCCGCCTGTACGGCAATTTTCGTTTTACAGGATTCCTTGCTCAGCCTCGCTGTTTTGTATGAATGATCGTCATGTCACCGGCCTCTTTCATTCTCGCGTAAATTTGATGGTGTTATTCTTATGTTGTTCTTTATCAGCCAGTAATTAATGTTCAGGCGAAAAAGCCTGAACATTAATTACCTGAAATAGCCTGCCTGAAATAGCCTGCAAGCGTCTGATGATATTTGAGTAAAGCCGTGAATATAATAAGCAATGTAAGTTACATGTATGTAGATTATTATTTACCGGTAACGTCAGTAACGCTATACCCGTTTGAAGCCGAAGATTGATAGCCTGTGTACAGACCCCCCCCTCCCCTCCGATTTTTATTGAGGGGAGGGAATCTGTACACAGGCTAAAGATTGATTTGAGCATTTCTGAAAAATTCCATAAGAATTTTCCGAGAATTCTTAGGGAAATCAACTTAAAGTAATCGGCTAAGAGATAATCTCGTGAAATCCTAGCCTAGGACTGTGTGGAGAGATTTCGCAGAGGTAAATCTTGTTTTTTGAGGGTAATTTTCGACGGTTTTGTATTTATTTTATTTCATGAATTTAAATGGTATTTCCATCCTGTTTTTGTACTGTTTTTATGCTCTTTCGACCGATTTTTGTACTGTTTTCAGACAACTCTAAGGCTATTTTCTTACAATGTTACACTGTTTTTGCATTTTTGCATCCTATTTTTGATGTATTTTCATAATATATGCGTGCTATTGCTTTTCTTAATCTGTGGTATTTTAATACTATTTTCAAAGTATTTTTATTGTATTTGCAAATACGAGTATTTTACTAATTTTCGAAACCGATTAAGCCAGCTATTAAAATATAATTGAAGCATAACATTTTAGTAGCGTTTTAAACAGGTTTTAACACCTTTAAAATACTATAGCAAATCAAAATATGTTTTTGAAACTTTTTTTATCCTCCGATTTATAAGGTATTTAAAAACTGTTTTGGACCTGTTTTGAGTCTTGCAAAAAGCCCGGAAATTTTTTATACATTTTAAAAGAATTTTAAAATACTTTAAAAATTCTATTTTAATAGCGTTTAAAGAGGTTAAAACACCTTTAAAAGCAGTCGAAAAATACATTAAAAGTACACTTTTCACCCCCATTTAAAACCTATTTCACAAAACAGCTTAAAAACAGTTTTTAAAAATAGCTTAAAAATACATTCAAAACAGTGTTGGATTTTGTAAGGGCACTGAGACAACAAGTTAAATTTTAGTTTCTATCAAAATATAACACAAAACACAGCCGCTGAGAATGCAGTTGAGCAGGTGATATTCGATGTTACGTGTCGTGTGTTCGTTTTATGAACGCCGAAAATAAAACTGATCTACACATGAATTTACTAAACTACGACGAACATGGAAAGATATAAAAATACCTGAGATACAAGATGAAAGCTTTTCGATTGCTTATTTTATCTTCATTTACGCATATCGTGAAAGTACTGTCGTTATACTGAATTAGGGGGCAGAATCATGGATTTTGTTTAATAACAGAGAAGATAATTTGGCAGTCAAGAGAGTATAATTACGCGATAGTGATTGGTCGAAGAGACTTTATGCCTGTTTCACAAACGTCGAACTTAACAACAGGAGCAAAATCTATTGGTCCTGTTCATCTCCATTAGATTTGGCACATGTGAGCTCGACGTATAATCATTGAAGTTATCATACCGTCAATTAACAATTGTTATGCTTTGGTAAATGAAAGCTTAGAAAATCATTGAACATTATCTTTCTGTGTGTTTTCTTCCTGGAATGGAAATAAGCTTTGCAAGCAACAGCTATATTAACTTCAAAATCCGATTTAGCATGAATATATTTTTCTTAACAGACTGTGAACTTCTCTGATGGACAAATCTCTTCGTTAATAGCCCTCGTTCGATATTGATATTAAAATTCTAACATGAATCCGAGGCTTTCTGACATTTTTCTTTGGTTTGGTTTTCTCTGTGCTCAGGTCTCTTCTGGGACTGGTGAGACAATGGAGTTGTGAAAAATTTGCATTTCTGACCCTAACCTCGAAGTTATGTTAGAATTTTGATAATTATATCGAAGGTGGGCTATTAGTGTGCAAATCTCCCATCGCGGGGGTGTATTATTTTCGAAGTTAACTTGATCAATCTACGCCAATTTTAAGTCTCTGCGCGCTTGCAAGCAAGAAGCATTAAAGGAAATGTCAGCCAAATCACTCAGTGACTTATACATTCTATGTAAAATTTCTAGGTTTTGAAGCCAATTTTTCTAAGATATAATAGTATATCTGGGAATTGCGAGAAAATGGAGTCGTGAAAATTTTGCAATTTTGACCCTAAAGCCTTGGAGTCATGTTAGAATTTTAATACATCCCACGTGGGCTATTATGCAAACATTAAAAGGCAATATGCGTGGCTAATAAATATGGGCGATCCCGCACCTATTTGAAAGAAATTGTTTTTGTTTATCTGGGAAAACAATAGGGATTGTCACATAACAATGCCCCTATCCCTGAAAAGAATGGAGTGAAGTTTAAAGGGAACCAGTGAAATAAGAGGTTTAGAACGGTCCAGGTCTACTGATAAATATTTCTGTCTGGCTTATTTGTTTTTGCATTTTTATATAATAACGTTATTGCAATAAGGCGAGTCTGGGGTTTCGCTTTCACTGAAAGCGAACCTTTACTTTTTTACAAAACAAAGAACCCTATCGAGCTGAGATATTGTGTTCAAAAGGATGTTACTAAAACGGGGAACGTGGAGAGGAGAACGAGCAGCATGATACAGCATTCTTGTTCAGCACGCGTGCAATGACCGCGCTTGGCTGACTTCCGAATGCTCATCTAGATATGATAATTTTGGTACAGTGAGAAAGGCCATCTCGTGCTTCTTGTGCCTTTGCAAAAAAAATCAAGAAGTGCTACACACTAAATCTACTTACTAGTAAAAAAATATCATTTTTTCATAGGTTTAATGCAAGCCAATAATTAAACCAACTCGTGACAGGAATCCCTTCTATTTTCTCATACTAAATTATCATATCTCGGTGAGCATTCGGAAGTCAGCCAAGCGTGGTCACGTGCTGAACAAGAATGCTGTATAATGACAGACTAGAAACAATAGACAACTCCCAAAGCACAAACGCAGCCAAAACGCTAAAAATCTTCAATGTTTACTCAAGTTTGGGCTTATAGAAGATAATGACGTCACAGTTTTTCAATGACCATGAAATTCAGAGTCCGGGTAGTTAGTTAATCAATTGTGGCCCTGAAAAAATTTGAAGGAAAAATAACCACGAATTTTTAAGAAAATGCTTTTTTCGTGAGAAGGACTCTTTAACGCTGACAAACGTCAACAAATAGCGAAAACTATAATTTCTATATGTTTGCTTTGCTCGAAATCGCGCGCATTTACAAGGCCCTAAAGCATTTTGCTGACTTGCAAGGACCCATCTGTTATAACGATGCCCAAAATAAAGGGATGAATATCATAGTTTATTAGATATAATCCGTGTAAAGTTTGCTTATCATTTTCGCATAAATTATGACCTAAATTTGGAAACCGCTCAATTTCTCGAATTGGGTCTTTGCGATTTTGGTGAAACTCTGTTCAGCGCAAAGCACTAATGCGCACTATGTGTAACCGAGAGATTTTCACGAAAAAATGCCGGCAACAGCAGATTTTCGCGTCAGACCTCAAAGGGGCGTGGCGTTATAACCACGTGACATTTACTCTAATCGCCAAAAATTTTATGTTATATTGTAGATTGATCTATATGTTATCCATTCTATGTGTTAGACTTACGATAAAAGTAAAGATGGGGATACCAGTGAGCTTCAAAGTAGGATGGTACCCCCCCAAAAAACTGGGTCAATTCACCTTAAGCAGACCGAGCCCTCCCGTCGGTAGGAATACAACAAAAACGTTTTGTTAACGTTTTTGACGTGAAATATTGCCAAAATGTCGGGTGAATGTTCAAATTGCTCTAAAATTCTCGAATTGGTCGATTTTTTCCCTGAAATTCCCGAGATTTTCTAACTCAGTCTTTTTGATGTCTAAAATTCCCCCCAAAATTCCGGAATCATGTAGCTAAGCAAGGCTAGGCTAAGCCTAAGGTGGGCGGATTCTATGTTTCGTGTGGACGAGGAACCGATTCGTGTGAAACAATACGCGTTTTCCGAAATATCCGGAATCTATTGTGTAGACGGGGCCACTTGAGGATGGATTCATTTGCAGCATACTTGTTTAGACGTCGCCATCGCTCGCTAGAGTTTTTCGGGTTAGGGGTGTGTCACAAGCGCCTTCAAATCCTTCGCTACTCTGTATTAGTCAAGAGACCTTTTTTATGACCCTAACTCATTTTATTTTGCACTCACAATTAATTATTTTTTCTTGAATTGATTAAGTAATAATTGCACAATAGAAATTAATGAATCGATTATTATTATTATTATTATTATTAATTTGTACCATACATGTAGACCGCGCAGAGCCGACGTTGACACCCTGTTCAGTGCTTCCGTCAAGAAAAAAACCCTGTTCGAGACGTAAATTAATAGTTTAATTGTATGCCCCGAAAACCATACTCTGTTCGGCGCCGCATACCCGTTCAGGCCAAATAAGGGAGAACCCCTGGGACTCAGGCCGGTTCAGTAAAACTAGTAAACATGCGTCTGGTATTTTTTATCAACTAGCAACAAAGATAATGTACAACAACAGCAACAAAAACGGATAATCTTAATCTTACTGATAATCTTAAAAGTTTATTTTGCTACCTGTGGCTTGTTGCAAACTAGTCAGGGCGTGATGATTTAACAATCGTTGCGATAAAACATGATGTTCTTGTGATTATGTGTTGTCCATATTTCTAATTTCTATAGATCTACAGGTCGAACAATATTACTGACAACTTGAGTCAAAAATCGCTCGAAGAAACACTATTCTGTTCATTACGGCGCCTTATTCGGGACTTAATTGATTCCCACAAAAAGTCGAAGAACTCGCAGATGGTCAGTACACTGCAGCCAAGAAGTAAGCCCATATTACCACCAAGTTCACCTGAAATTGTAGAAACAGACGCGATCATTTGTTGTTAAAGCTTCTTTTCCTTTGTTATGCGTTTTATAATGAACAAGATAGAAAGGACGTCTGTTCGCACACGCGTTAATAGCCTGGTACGTTCCAGGCGTTCACCAGCACCTGCCCCCCCCCCCCCTGGTTTTTTTCGCTCACTATTTTTTTGCGCCGTCCCCACTATCTGAATATGCCTGGAACAGGCTAGCACGTGAAATGAATCCACTGCCGGACGTTAGATAGAATAAGATATAATAAGCTTCTCAGGACTGTGTATCAACATTTCGAAACTCTGAGTAAGCGGGTTATATGCATGCATACGAGGATTCGAGATACTTCCTAAAAAGCTAGGTCGTCAGTAAGCACAGAAATAAATCCTAGTCAATCAGAAGCGCAACAAGTTGAGAAAAATTGTAGCCTGCGTACCAAGCGTTTCCAATCGAGTTATTGCGCGAAAGTTAGAGTGGAAGCAAAAAAAGGTTGAAGGGGGAGGGGGAGAGAGAAGAGGAAACGCTTGCCTGCAAACCCCACGATTCTGGAAAACGCCCCTTGCTATTTCACGGTTCGGTTCATTTGTAAATTGACAGCTCGTTAAAATAGAAACATAACGAACAGATTACCCCTGGATTACCAGATTTGTAAAATTACTTTGTTCTCTAATAGAACACGTTGCAGGCGATTGCAAGAACTGTAATAAAAAAGATTTACGACAAAAGAAGGTTAAAACTATGAGCGATTGGTGAGGAATTTCTTTTTTTTTATTGTGTGGCTCTATCTCGTCTGAAACCTTGTCGACACGTCAAAAATGATTTGTCCGGAACAATTCACTCCGCCGGGTATAAGTTTTGCAGAGCGGCTGCTCTTCAGCCTGTGTCGAAACGTTCTCTATAATAGGTGCCGCTAAATTTCCAATAAACAAAAAGAATCTTTTCATTTCAAAAAGCTGACAAATCGCTTGTCTATGGCGGCTTTAGCTAGTGTCGAGTACCGATGTTCTGATTTATGTTGATGTTATCTCCAACAAACAGTCCATTTTTTCCAGTCAGATCCGCACGCCGTCATTCTCAATAAATTGGCCTTCCCTAGTCTCCACTGCTCGATCTCCAGTTATACTTTGAAGACTCTGATCTCATAAACCTTCGCACAAACACGATTCCAATAAATATCAGTCCAAAGCATTTGTAATCTGCGACCACAAATCAGATGAGACCAGATCTGTGACGCACAAAAACAAAGCATACCTGGTTTGATTGACGTTTCGAATGCTAAGTAATCAACACTACCCGCACCGCGCCAATCAGAAGCTGCGTTCGTGGGCGAACGCAGTTTTTCAAAATCGTGGGATTTGCGGGCAAGCGGTTCCTTCGTTCCCCTCCCCCTCCCCCCATCATTTATTTTTTTTTTGCTCTTGTCCCAGCTTTCTAGACGAACCTCGCGAGGAAACGCTTGCTACGCAGGCTAGAAAAATTGTTACACTGGTGTTAGTACAGTCACAGTCTACGCCGAGTGGTAAGAGTAATTCTCGTCTTTGTGTGTCTGGTACTCATCTGACTAGGTATGGGAAGCCCTGCATGGCAGGTGTCGGTTCCTTTTTTCGGTTAGAACGCCAGGGAACCCCGCCTCCTCTTTTGCCTCCGTTCGCGCGCGAAATTTCTCCCTCTGCTCCGCCTTCAAATAACCGGCGCCTGCTACGAAGCCTAGTGCATGCAGATATTCGTTGTTGTTCAACTATCGCAATGAACCTGTTCTGGATAAGAGAGAGTTTTTGTACTAAAACTGTGATTAACCGTCCACTATTTTCATCTAGTAAGGAGATTTTGGAGAGCTTCCAATTAACAAGTACATTTGAAAAGAGTAAAGCCACTGCTCATTTCGAAATTAACGATAAAAACGGCCTTAAAAAACTCAAAATCGAGAAATAATTCTTTCTCGATACTTTACTCACCAAAGAGGCTCTCGGCTCCATAGCTTGGAACATCTTCCCTCATTTCGTAGGACAGTCGTTGAAAACCCACTTGAAGAAACACATAGTTTTCCCTTAGAATGTGGAAAAAAAGATGAATAAGTGGGTATTATGACGATATTTGGAACTGTTCGTTGCTATGATCTTATGGTCTCATCAGTGGATTGATAGTGGGCTGATAGTGGATGACGTTTTTGTGATATCTGGAATAATCAAGGTTAGAAAGTACTGATCAGACACTTACTGAGACCTTGATTATTCCGGATATCACAAAAACTGAATCTAATACGTAATTGTTTTATTACTCACTGTTTTAAACAAAATAAGGATAAACACAGCATCGCATGGAACACAGTTTGACATTGCTCTTGGAAATCATGCACTTCGCGCACAACCTACAGATTTTTCAGTGAGCTGCTAACAGATAACTAACTAATAAACTGTAGATTGCGCTGATTTCTAAAATTTACTGTAGGCTCTTAGCCAATAAAAAGACAGATAGTGATTACAATTTATACTAATTGCTATAATTTGCAACTGAATTTTAAAGTGTCGGGACTGCTGTGAGGGACAATCTCGGGAGAGTGAAAAACACAAAGTCATAACATACAAGTCTGACTGACAAATATTGCAGTGGCTTTGAGAATTTTAACGCTTAATTTTGTTTATGCCATTTGAGGTTAAAATTTTGCTACTTCTTTCACCCTTCCTCTAATCGTAATACATAATTGGTAAAATATTAAAATCATAAACACATACTCCCTAAATCAATTTAGGTTTGTGGGAAACTGCCCACCTACCCCTCCCCTAAGCTAACATCAACACCTACGCCTTACTTTGGGCAAAAGGATGGCTTAGGGGAGGGGTAGGTGGGAAGTTTCCAAAAACTGATCCATGGCTTCTAATAAAGGTGCTTTTAATAACAACTTACTGCATATATTTGAGACTCTCTGTTCTGTGAAAGTAATGTTGGAAAATGGTAGCTATTGAAACATCCGGGAATTTGGAATAGGAAACACGTGGTTCGTATTCCAGTTCGGAGCATGCGTTGCTGCAGCTGGAACATGACGTTATATTAAACTGATCTGAAAATAAACAAGAGGTGTAATAGATCCCAAACTTTCTACAACTGATAACTAAAAATATAAGCTATATATTTTAGATAATTTATAGCTTTTAATATTTTAATCTATCGGCCATTTTAACGTTTGTAACCTCTACCTTGTATAATTTAATAGGTTTTTAGTTCTTAACTTTTTACTTATTATTACTATTACGCATTCATTTATCTAAGATCCTCTATTTTTTCTATTGTTTTACAGGGCCTCAATGAATATCCCTCTTTGTGAAGTAAGCTCGCTGTATAAAGATTGTTATTATTATTGTTATTATCATTATTATTATTATTATTATTATTATAATTATTATAATATATAGTACACTCTTCTTAATATCATGAGTGACAAATGACTCTTTAATTATGGCAAGAAATTTCACGGTTAATTTATAATTTGACATCTGAAAGTTTGTCTCAGCGCCAAGATGGCGTTACGGTTTTAAAATGTTGTGAATGAAGATGCCAGCGCATTAAAAGACGATTTAGAAAACTTAAAGACAGGAAAGAGATCTAACAGGTTTGTCGTCGAAAATTTAAGATAATTGTGAACTTATTAAACCCAAATTGATCCTCTAAAATTTTCCATGTGTTGCCTAACTTATATCGCTCCCCCCACCCCCCCCCACCAGAAGTAATAATAACGATTACGAACGTAATTTGTCACCCATGATATTAATAGGTATAGTCAAGAAATGATCCCCTAATTTCACTCGTCATCTTTTGATTACACTTGAAAGCAGTACAGCAAGTGTTAGCAAGAGCCATAATCATGGTTTTTGGTGTTAGGAAATTGCTCCATCAACCATGATCGTAGAAGCAAATGTGGTCGCTAGTAGAATCCTTTGATACACTGGCTCCGTTATCTCATATAATGACAAAAACCTTTTTCCCAAAAAAAGGATTACTGCTCTGTGGTCACGGTTTTAACTGAGAGCAAGAGAGGATAAAAAGGAAAGAGAAGGCATCCCCCATACACACGCTATTCCATAGGTAATTCTCTCGAGTAACTTTTAGAATCGGGATAAAGTTACCTCGCGCGCTGCGTGGATGTTTCGTGGAGGTTTCGCATGACTAAACGCCGTGCAAAACAGGTCGGACGAAAGGCAATGGAAGCGTAAAGAGATTGAGAGCATTTCTGAATTTTGAAGCGAAAGGAGTCGGCGCTCACCTGGGAAAAGGGAATCGATGGACTTTTTGACAACCCGTGAAATCAGTTTAACTCGAAGTTGTCGTAACCTCTTTGCTTTAATAAAATGAGAAATTTCGCCGGTCTATTGAAACCGGTCGTTTGTACGATAAAGCAAGTACGACGCCAAGTGTTGTTTTTGTTGAATAATAAAAAAAACTTATAAAAGAATAAATATCAAACCAGAAATTGCTCTCTTCAAACTGTAAATTATAAATGATCCTGAGAGAATATTCAGTGTGTCTTAAGGATTTCCCTGCTGTACTGTTAGCTCTATACAAGACAGGAATAGCGATTATTTTTTAATTTCCGTTTCGCTGACACAGCTTTAGCAGAAGAAATCTCGCTTTAGTCGTTTTCGTCGACAAAACGAATAACAATATCGTTCTCCGCGTCTTCCGCCATTTTTTTCAGTGTCAATATCGTGAAGGACGCGTGGCTCTGAGGGTGGGTCATCCACGCGGAACACATTCGCGCTATGTGATTGGCTGTTATCTAATCCCCCTCGGGATCTGTGGTCTTAAAAATAACTCGAGACGAATTACCTATGGAATAGGGTGTGTATGGGGGATGCCTTCTCTGTCCCCTTTATCCTCCCTTGCTGAAAGCGAATATCAAGATCTCAAAAGACAAGGTCATTGTAGAAAGGACACTAGCCACTTTCTTTATTCAAACGAGACAGTGTCAATTTGTTTGGTATGCTTACTATTTCCTTCGCCTTTGAGTAAAATTCCATTCAAGCGAAACTTAAACTTGAAGATAGTGAAATTTAAACAAGCTTTCGCATTAAGGAACGACTTCTGTGACGTCACTCTGTCCTAATGAAATCTGCGAGAAGCTTAAAATGATTGGCCCCCCGGATAAGTTTGGCATTGTCCAATTTTTAGACGAGCGAGACTAGAGGAAAAAAAGTGCCACATTATTTTCGACCGCTTATAAACTTTTCCGCAATTTTGCTCTTGACAGAGTGACGTCAATCATCAATTAACTGTTTTCAGTTTTCGATGGTAACATTCCGTAACGGGGAATTTCAGTCGGCTGGGGATGGATTTTTAAGTCCCAGGAGAACGGTCAGTGACTATATGAACACCAATGCTTTTTTCAGAAGTAAAGAGTTGATTGCAGGTCGTTGGCCGGATTTTTATTATGAGCGCTATTTTTTATTTTGTCTTAGTTTATATAATGTGTGTTCATTTGTTTACGTCAATCTCAGTTACATTTTATACATGAAAGTCTCGTAGTTTTCCAAAACAATTAAAAAGACTGAAGGATTTATTAGTAACCGAGTAACATAGAATGAACTGTAGTTTTTACCTTTAGATCGCGTAACACAATCAGAGTCCCGAGTCGAACACAGCGGTACTGTCTTTGGACCTTTAAAAAAAACAATTCAATCAGATAAATTAGAGAAAACATCAAGAAAGTATCAGAGAGAGCTACTATGACAGAGATTCAAAAGATCTGTATGCTGGGATCGAATCCTCAGAAAGGTGCTCAGTGTATGAACAGAATGATTGATTTGAGTCATTTGAGTGACTGACGCTCTAGATGCATGGTTTGCTCCCGGCTGATGCACAAAAAGGACACCAGCAAAGACTGCGATAAAAGAGATAATAATAATAATAATAATAATAATAATAATAATAATAATAATAATAATGATGATGATGATGATGATGAAGGTTTATTAACAGCATTTGCATAAAAATAGGCTCTTGACGTCTGCTGATAAAATATGTATTATATATTCAGCTAGAAAAAAAAAATAAGAGTGGTAAAAAAAAAAAAAGAAAAAAAAAAGAAAAAAAAAAACGAAGCTAACTTATTAAATGAATGAAAAACTAACTACCTAAAAAGGGTGAAGATGGGGGGGTTGGGGGGGGGAGGGGTTAGGAAAGTTGGCTTCGCTATTTTAAAATAGCGTGGGGGGAGGGGGAGGGGGAGGCGGGGGGGGAAGAAAAAAAAAATTATGCGTGGTAAAACAAAAAAAAGAAAAAAAGAAGAAAAAAAAAAACGATGCTAACTTATTAACTGACTAAAAAACTAACTACCTAACAATGATCAAAATACTGTATTTGGAACTATTACATTTTAGTACACTTGTCTTCGCTATTTTAAAATAGCCTGAGTGGAGGGGGATGGGAAGGCGGGGGGGTGGGGGGGGGGTCTGAACACAGGCTACTTTAAAACACTGAAGGTTTGTTGGACAGAGCTGAACAACGTCTGCGCATGTACAGATACGGGAGAGGTCTGGGATCTAAACTAGTATCGTTTGCATAGGACTTTCAAAACATCCTCACATTTTGGCGATTTTTAAGGTGGATTCTGAATATTCAAGGCTCCCATTCAAACTAAAGGTAGATTATTTCATACTTTATTGAATTCTCGTTTCCACCGTCGTAATTTTTCTTCCGTTTTTTGCTATGAACAAAAGAAGATGCACAGAGGAAGCCGAAAACAGTTCTTTCATCCGAATGTGTACATTTTCAAGCCTAAACAGAAATGAAAGTACAGACTATCAACATGTTATCAGTTCTAAGAAATCGTCCGGTCATCATATCAGTGTCAGCATTAAAGGTACATTTTATTTATCTTTGTTATTCCTTGAATGATCGTCTTTTAGTTATTTCTCTTGTTATATCTCACTTGGTTTCACTATAAGAACTGTAAGAACACACTTTCGAACTCTTTTTTCTTTCCCTTTATGACTCATTCTTAGCTCAGCTCAAAAGAGCTATTATAAATTTTTGTATATAACAACAGGCAAAATTAATGTTGAGAAGAGTAAATGGGTAAGTAATACGGTCGATGCCTGCTGGTAAAAGTATCAATGACTTGAAGTTCTCTTTACAAGGAGAAGCACAATCTGACTCTTTATAAACTTTCATTTATTTTTCTCTTGAAAGTCTAGATATTCATTCCTTGATTCTTCTGCTTCATTCAAACCTGTCATAAATGGGAAAACTTATAGTTAATACGAAAACTCACATAGAGCTGAGCCAACTTGTGATTGTTTCTCAAAACTTCAACAGCTTTAAACTTTAAAAGTTTATTCATTAATAAGATTAAAGATGCAAATTAAATTTTAAACAAACTTAACCGAATAAATACTGATTCTACAGCTCGACCAGCGCCTGTAAGCCGGATAGAGCTATATGTACGAAAAAGCTTCTTTGATCGCACTAAAACTTGTGACTAAGTTTACGACTTTTTCATGACTTCTTGTGTCTGATGGTATCATCGCACTCAAAGCCGGCTTTCTTGCCACCAAGAAACGGTCAAAAACTGTTTTCGCTCGGCTACATTACAAAGATTTGCTACTCCTTAACCAGAATAAAGTAATGTTTAAGTAAATCGTTTACATACCATCGAAGAAAAGTCGCCCAAACTCCAGCACATTGCTCTTTTTTCATTTCTCAGTCGTCTTTCTGCAAACTTACTGACGATGCATCAAAACAATGAAAAACCTCGACGGGACGGTCAAAAACATTTTCATTGATCCCTAGATTACGTAACATTTCTTTCCATGAGTTGCATTTCTAACGTATTCGTAGAATTTCTCCTTCGTTGGCATTCACAAATATGAGTTTAACCGATGGTTGAGGATAAAATGGTCTCAGATGCAAGAATTTTACTTTGCACGAGTACTTAGCGCACGGGCTAGACAAGTAAACAATTGCAAGTGATGTCACGGACATGTGTAGTACGTTTTTCAGCCATGTCGGTTTGTTGGGAAAAAAGACCCAAAATTTGTGCAAGATTTGATTTGGGCAGGTAGGGAGTTGGACCTAACCTTGTACTTTAATTATGCATTTGGTTGCTCACTGAAAAGAAAGGTTATTGAATTTTAAGGGCCCGAATGATAATTCTTAAAAGAAAACATAAAAAGGCCTTATTGAAACCAGTAGAAATCTTGACATTTCTTGAAAAGAGCTTTTGCTCCTAGAAGATCGGGCCAGTATGGGCATCGTACCTAGTAGATTTGCTTACTACATATTCTTAGTGCCCACTTCTTGTAAAGGAACGCTGCCCTTTTAAGATAAGATTTGTAGGTCACATCTCCAAACTAGATTGCAATAATATATATATACGGAAGGATCGTTGAATTATACAAGGTACAAAGAGAGCGAGCAGAGAGAAAAAATCTAGATTTATGGATGATACCTATAGATTTAGACATTTTAGTGGCTATTAAAGATATATGAGCTAGATTTCCAGGTTACATTGTTATCTAGAACACCCAGAGCCACAGTGTCGATTTACTGAGTAAGACTATTTGTATCCCCGTAGTTCATATTGCCGGCAATACTGTGTTTCATTCACATTACTGAGTCATATTTACAAACGGAAGTAAAATGACTTAGAAAAAAGAAATTAAAGAAATCAAAACTATTCTAAACCTAGAAATCCAGGACCACGGCATCCACATTGTTTGATGGTGTAGTTTGAGGAACACTCGAATGCACAGCCGTCCTTTGTGTATCTTTCAACTGCCGCAAGTTTCATTTGTCTGCAGTTCGTTTTGTAGGGTGAAGGAAGTCTCTTGATCTAAGAAAAAGGTACAGTAATATATCAGCTATTTCGCTCGTTTTGATTGGTGGTCGTCTTTCCTTAATTTATGAGAGTTAATGATATATAATGATCCACCTCACATAGTTGTTCAGTATGTCGCACAGAACTGAACAGGTTTCAAACATTATACCAGAAAAGCCCGACTGAGTTAAAATTCGACAAAATCAGTTTAAATTTAATTTTGCGAAATGCTGAACAACGAATATTACCAAGCAAAAATTATACCAAAGAGAATTTTTTCAGTTTCGGCCGTTTCCGTCTGAAAAAGGGTATAGATGTTGCCTACTGTGGTCTGGAATCAGGTACTGTTTTTGAGGGAGCTACGGGAGTGTGCGAACGTATTTGTCGTTTCCATTCCAAATAAATAAGAAAGAGTAATATGTCTAAACTAAGTAATGATGATATAATTTCTGCCTATGGATTTTAAAGGCCTGGTCTGAAAACGGGTGTAAATAATCACATTTTTTGGTCTGTAATAGGGCGAGGATTTAGAGAACCGGGAGGTACAGCCCCATCAAGAATTCCAACGAGTACTCTCGGGTCATGATCAGTAACTCACCTTTGTAAGCTTGATTAAGGCAGACGCATGGGTGCCAGGTAAGACATTGAAGCCGTCATAGCGATTGATAAATGTATTTTGTTCGTGCACAATCACTTTCAAACCAGTAGAGAATTCGTTCAATGTGCTCTCTTTGGTTTGAACATCGAGTATAATGCTAAGACCAGAATCAGCACCTTCATAAGTTGTATGATGCAATGGAATGTCATTTAAACCCGAGTTAAAAGTGAAGCAGAGCCCTTGTTGAGTCAGGTGCGGAACAAAGTCCTTATAAGAACATCTGATTTTTGATTTGAAACGGCAATAAAGGACCAACATGCTACGCATTTCATGGCCATATCTGGTAAGAAATTCCTCTTCATTGTACAAACGTTCTGATGACCGATTCAGAACATTTATTATTTTCTTTTGAGTTGATCCATTGCAGCCTTTTACCAAAGCCGGTCCAAACCACCCATAGGCACACAAAAGAGCCTGGCCACAGGTGAGGTTTCCGCGAACACTGCGAGTTTCACTGCATCCACTAATGTTTAATCCCATCTGATAAAACCTCTCATCATCATCAGCCACATCAATCTTAGATCGCATAAACATGTTCAAATTACAAATGGTTACGGCAGGGAAGGTCAAGCCATTAGTCGGTGTTTCCAGTGAAAATACTGTCTTGATCGGCAAAGAAAAAAAATTTCTTAAGCTGATGACGGAAAGAAACATGAACAAGCTTGCAGCGGCGAAAAGAAACAGAAGCCAAATAGCTCGCTTCAAAGGAGAATGGTTTCTATGGACGACGTGTCTAAGTCCGTGGAGAGTTGTACTGGAAGCAAATTCTGTCCATTCGTGGGAGTCGCGATTCTCTGATTTCATTTTTTCGTTCGCGGAATTGGAGCCATCATCGATGGGCGTCACAACCACTTTCCTTACCATACCTGAAAATCAAACAATCAGAACAGATTAAATAGCAGCTATAAATAAATACGTTAAATAATTCAGTCGTTATCATGGTTATCTCAGTACGGGGTGTTTTCTTGTTTCTCATATCCACTTTTCAAAATTGTATTTGTACTGAAAATGATATTTCTTAGACTCATAGGGGTAAACGGAATCTGTTTGACTCTTTCAGAACTAGATATCTATACAACTACGTTTTTAGTAAACTATTTTTACTCCTGATGGCTGAAACCACATTTTTGTCGATTTATAACCAAAAAGTTGAATCTATCCGTAAGAATCGCCTATGGGTTTTAACATCGTCTTTAGTTAAGAGGAGATAACCAATCAACTTAAGAAAAAATTCAATAAATGTTAAAGAAAGATTGGACATCGTCCAAGGTTTCGGATAAAAAAAAAACATCACTTTTGCTGTTAACTTTTTTTTCTAAGCCAGAGAAAAATTTCGAATGAGCCACGTTTCAGTCAATTTTCTTCCTATCTAAAAAGAAGCCTACCGATATCAGTCTATAAAATGCAAAACATGAAGTGCAAGGTTTATGCAACACCCGTTTTGTGATCTGCTAAGAAAAATAAAAGTAAAAAAGAAAACGCGGACGAATTATTCGCCACTATCAGCAAAAGGAACAAACTTGTTGACTACATGTACATGTGCAGTTATGGTTTTTGGTTGAAATGTTAATCTTTTCTGTTACGTAGCTTCGCGAAAAAATTAAAACATGTCCCGCAACAGTGATGACATCTCTCAGAACCTACGCTAACTCAGAACAAAGACTGCTGTCACTTTTGAAATGTCTGCAACAGTCCGATTAAGTAACTGTCTGTAATCGATTACTTTACCTGAATTTTGCATAAATCCGCCCGAGCTTACTGATAAGACACTAATGGATAGACTTCTCGACTGTCCCAGAAACATTCAAGGCAAAGTCTGACTGCGTAGGCGATTACTGTTTGATTTAAATAGTTTACATAAACTTGGTATGTCGCCCGAAAGTTACGATTGTTAGAAAGTCAGCGAGGAAGCAGTTCGTTAAGGTTCACAGTTGGTTGCTTGTCTGTTCAACTACCAAGACAGCTGCTTCATGATCTTGCCAAAAAAACCTGTTTATTTAATTATGAGCAATTTCATCAATATTTGGGTTGATTTCAGTCTCATGATAATGATGCATTACCAAGGAGAAAAAACATAAGAACAGAATATAAGAAGAAATATCGTTGTGTAATGTTATTGGATCACGTCAATGGAAAATAAAATAAAATTATTCGTTGCTTTCCTCAAAATGCTGAGTTTGGTAATCCGTTGTCCGATTGGTTTTTTATCATATCTCTTTATGATAATATTTGTGCAATGTATAAGAAAAATAAGGATAGAAACACATATAAACAGTGTGAAATTAATCAAGTCCATGCCAAGTTTGTTCAATTAATTTGGTGGAATTTGGCGTCAAGATCTAGTCCTCTATACTGTATTGACGTCTAGTTTAATTAGTAGCCTGATATAGTTTTTGTGTATCCTTAGGATCAGTCAACCTTTCGAAAAATGTAACCCCACCCAAACAGACTGCAAAGAAAAAAGTGAGAGTTTCGTTGTACAATGATTCTTTTCCATATATTTCAAGGCGCGTAGGAGGGGGGGTTCGAGGGGTTCGAACGAACCCCCTTTCGGGTCAATGATGGAGGAGTAAAACACAACTTGTTAATTTTCAGTTTTTAGCAAATAGTGGAGGAATGGAAAACAAATTTTAAGTGTTTTAGCTCAGTTTAAATTACTCTGGGTGAGAGTAGGCTCTCCTCACTGCTATCATACATATCAAGGACGGTATGCCTGTCGATCTGGACGAAGTTGGCAATTTATTTGAAGGCCTCCACCCGAAGATGATGCAATTGCAAAGTTTGCTTTACGAAGCGGAAAGGTCCTGTAGTGAGTTGATAATTAAGTAGCCCATGTTGTGGCAACAGTATATCCTACTGACCTAGTATTATATGTAGATAATTAAAATAATCCCACCATTGAAGATATTTCCTTAACAGGCGTTCCGGATTTGACAAATGGAGTCTTGAAAGACGAAAGGCGGGAAATACTATTTTTGGGACCTTGTACTGTGATACGTGTTTAATACATATTGACGTTTGACGCTGCTCTCAGTACAAATACAGCGGAGCCGAGGAACTGGGGGACTTAAGCTTTTGCTCCGAGATACCTTGCAGCAAACGTCGAGTTTTGTAAAACGTTTCGTGTACTTAGCCGGTATGTATCACTATGCATGAATGCTCCAAGTCAAACAGAAATATTGTTGTTGTTACTAACCTTAGCCCTATCAGTAACTTCATTTCCAGTTCTCTGCTTTGTTACCATTTTTCATTTCCCCCCTCCCCATGCTCGTTCTTTCTCCCCCATTCCCCGTTTAAGTAACATCAATGTTTGAAAGCGACTTGTATCTGATCAAAATTAGCCAGTTTCAGGCTTTCAGATAGTGGAACGCAGGAGAAAAAATATACAGGGAGAAGAAAAAAAAAACATTGGAAGAACCGGGAGAGCGCTCGCTTCTTTTACACTCGTAATCCACAATCTGAAAGCCGAAGCTGAGATTGACAGTTTGTTTCGAATTGATGACGTAACAAAGACACCAGCAATAGCTAATAGACCACTTTCGATGTATTAAGAGTTAGCTTACTCCTAAAATGTCTTCTTGTTGCGGTAGAAGTCGAAATTTTGATTTCAATGCAAGCAACAAGACTGGAAAAAAGCTCCAGCAAACAGTAAAAACAGAAGGTTGTTGTCCGCTATTTTGAATTTGCAATTGCTCTTTTAAGACCGGGCCGGGTTTTTGACCTAATTGAATTCCAAAATACCCAGTCTTTATCGTCTACAAAATCGCAAATCCTTCACATAAAAAAATCCACTGAAATTCACAAAAAAAATTTTAAAAAATTTCGGCTTTTTTTTTTTTATAGCGAGGGCCCCTTTTGGTGAATAACCGCTGATAAGTTGTAGTGTAGACGACTCTGATGAAAAGCCGCTGATTTGTTGTGCTCAGCAGACGGTGCTTTAGACACTGCTGTAGCATTTAAGCGGACTGAGCCCTCTCTTGGTCGGTAGGAATACAAGAAAAAACGTTTCGTCAACATTTTGCCGTGAAATATTGGCAAAATGTCGGGTGAATGCTCAAATTGCTCTAAAATTCTCGAATTTGTCGATTTTTCCCTAAAATTCCCGAGATTTTCCAAAATTCTTTTTGATGAGTAAAATTCCAAAAAAAAAAAATTATTTCCGGAATTATGTAGCTAAGCCAAGGTGGGCGGATTCTATGTTTCGTGTGGACGGGGGACCGATTCGTGTAAAAAAATTCGCGGTTTCCGGAATATCCGGAATCCATCGTATAGACAGGGCCTCTTGAGGATGGATTCATTTGCAGAATACGTGTTTAGCCGTCGCATTTGCTCACTAGAGTTTTTCGGGGTTGGGATATGCCAAAAACGCCTTCAAACCCTTCGCTACCCTGTATTAGTCAAGAGACCTTTTTTATGACCCTAGATCATTTTATTTCGCACCCAGAATTTAATTTCACAATAGAAATTAATGAATCGATTATTATTATTATTATTATTAATTTGTACCATACATGTAGACCACGCGAAGCCAACGTTGACACACTGTTCAGTGCTTCCGTCAAGAAAAAAAAACTCGTTCAAGACGTAAATTAATTGTTAAATTGTATGCCCGAAAACCATACTATGTTCGGCGGCGAATACCCGTGAAGGCCAAATGAGGGAGAGCCCCAGGACTCAGGCCGGTTCAGTAAACATGCGTCTGGTATTTTTTATCAACTGGCAACAAAGATAATATACAACAATAGCAACAAAAACAACAACAGACTTTATTTACTGATAATCTTACATCTTTATTTTGCTACCTATGGCTTGTTGAAAACTAGTCAGGAGGGCGTGATGATTTAACAATCGTTGAGATAAAACATGATGTTCTGGTGATTATGTTTTGTCCATAGTTTTAATTTCGTTAGATCTACAGGTCGAACAGTATTATTGACAACTTGAGTCAAAACTCGCTCGAAGAAACACCATTCTGTTCATTAGGGCGCCTTATTCGGGACTTAATTGATTCCCACAAAAAGTCGAAGAACTCGCAGATAGTCAATACACTGCAGCCGAGAAGTAAGCCCATATTACCACCAAGTTCACCTGAAATTGTAGAAACGGACGCGAACATTTGTTATTAAAGTTTCTTTTCCTCTGTTTTGCGTTTTATTTATTTACAAGAATGAACAAGATAGAAAGGACGACTGTTCGCACACGCGTTAAAAGGCTATTACGTTCAGGCGTTCACCTACTCTCGGTAGCCCCATGTTCCCTCGCTGTGTTTTTCTGCTCACTATGTTTTCGCCCCGTCCCCGCTATCTGAATATGCCTGGAACAGGCTAGCACGTGAAATGAATCTACCTCCGGAAGTTAGTAATCTTAATTTTTAGTGGTGTGATGTAATGGAGATAAGCTTTTCAGGATTGTGTATCAACCTTTCGAAACTTTGAGAAAGCGGGGTATATACAAATGCATACGAGGAGATACTTGCTGAAAAGCTAGGTCGTCAATTAGCACGGAAATAAATTCTAGTCAATCAGAAGCGCAACAAGTTGAGAAAAATTGTTACACTGTTGTTAGTACTGTCACAGTCTACGCCGAGTGGTAAGAGTAATTCTCGTCTTTGAGTGTCTGGTACTGATCTGACTAGAGCATGCGAAGCCCTGCATGGCAGGTGTCGGTTCCTTTTTTCGGTTAGAACACCAGGGAACCACGCCTCCTTTTTTGCCTCCGTTCGCGCGCGAAATTTCTCCCTCTGTTCCGTCCTTAAATAACCGGTGCCTGCTACGAAGCCTAGTGCATGCATATAATCTATCCGATGAACCTGTTCTGGATAAAAGAGAGTTTTTGTACTAAAACTGTGATTAACCGTCCACTATTTTCATTTAGTAAGGAGATTCTGGAGAGCTTCCAATTAACAAGTACATAGAAAAGAGTAAAGCCACTGCTCATCTCGAAATTAACGATAAAAATGACCTTAAAAAACTTAAAATCGAGAAATAATTCTTTCTCGATACTTTACTCACCAAAGAGGCTCTCGGATCCATAGCTGGGAACATCTTCCCTCATTTCGTAGGACAGTCGTTGAAAACCCACTTGAAGAAACACATAGTTTTCCCTTAGAATGTGTAAAAAAAGATGAATAAGTGGGTACTTTGACGATATTTGGAACTGTTCGTTGCATCATAATCAGTGGATTGATAGTGGGCTGATAGTGGATGACGTTTTTGTGATATCTGGAATAATCAAGGTTAGAAAGTACTGATCAGACACTTACTGAGACCTTGATTATTCCTGATACCACAAAAACCGAATCTAATAACTGTTTAATTACTCACTGTTTTAAAGAAAATAAGGATAAACACAGCATCGCATGGAACACAGTTTGACATTGCTCTTGGAAATCATGCACTGCGCGCACAACTTACAGATTTTTCGGTAAGCTGCTAACAGATAACTAACTAAACTGTAGGTTGCACTGATTTTTAAGATTAACTGTAGGCTCTTAGCCAATGAAAAGACAGATAGTGATTACAATTTATACTAATTGCTATAATTTGCAACTGATTTTTAAAGTGTCGGGACTGTGAGGGACAATCTCGGGAGAGTGAAAAGCACAAAGTCATAACATACGAGTCTGACTGACAAATACTGCAGTGGCTTTGAGAATTTTAACGCTCAATTTTGTTTATGCCATGAGGTTAAAATTTTGCTACTTCTTTCACCCTTCCTCTAATCGTAATACATAATTGGGTAAGTTGTTAAAATCATAAACACAATACTCCCTAAATCAATTTAGGTTTGTGGGAAACTGCCCACCTACCCCTCCCCTAAGCTAACATCAACACCTACGCCTTACTTTAGGCAAAAGGATGGCTTAGGGGAGGGGTAGGTGGGAAGTTTCCCAGTAACCAAAATTGATCCATGGCTTCTTATAAAGGTGCTTGTAATAACAACTTACTGCATATATTTGAGACTCTCTGTTTTATGAAAGTAATGATGTAAAATGTTAGCTATTGAAACATCCGGGAATTTGGAATAGGAAACACGTGGTTCGTATTCCAGTTCGGAGCATGCGTTGCTGCAGCTGGAACATGACGTTATATTAAACTGATCTGAAAATAAACAAGAGGTGTAATAGATCCCAAACTTTCTACAATTGATGACTAAAAATATAAGCTATATATTTTAGATAATTTATAGCTTTTAATATTTTAATCTACCTGACATTTTAACATTTTTGACCTGAAGCTTGCATAATTTAATAGGTTTTTAGTTCTTAACTTTTTACTTATTATTACTATTACGCATTCATTTATCTAAGATCATCTATTTTTTCTATTGTTTTGCAGGGCCTCAATGAATATCACTCTTTGTGAAGTGAGCTTCCTGTATAAAGATTGTTATTATTATTGTTGTTGTTGTTATTATTATTATTATTATTATTATTATTATTATAATGTTATTATTATAATGTTATTATTATAATGAACAGTACACCCTTCCTATTATCATGAGTGACAAATGACTCTTTAATTATGGCGAGAAATTTCACGGTTAATTTATAATTTGACATCTGAAAGTTTGTCTCAGCGCCAAGATGGCGTTTAACGGTTTTAAAATGTTGTGAATGAAGATGCCAGGGCATTAAAAGACGCTTTAGAAAACTTAAACACAGGAAAGAGATCTAACAGGTTTTTCGTCGAAAATTTAAGATAATTGTGAACTTATTAAGCCCAAATTGATGCGCAGTTTAACAACAATAACAACAATAAGTTTGATTTGCATTACCATAACAAAGTATTACAGTATTGCAAAAGCTACTTGAAATTAATCATTGATTCCTTGTAAATTAAATATTTGAAATAATTTGAAACGTATTAATCATTGTTTTTTTTTAACCATCGGTAGGATTAATTATTCCGGAGATAAGTTTGTCTATCAATTCAAAGCAAGTTGATATAAATGAAATTAACTGGATGTTAATAAAATAGTCAGTAGATATCATCAGATGTGATAATAAGGACTCATGTGATTGTAGTCGTAGAAACGGTATTTTAGGTTCTAGTTTAGAGAAGAACATATCTCTTATCGAAGAAAACCTTGGACAATCTAATAAAAAGTGAGTTTCATCTTCAATTCTGTTACAATTGCAGAGATTGCATAACCTTTCGTCACGTGGTATATTGTCGTATCTACCTGTCTCAATCCTAAGTTTGTGACTGCTTATTCTCAGTTACTGTAGCCTGACTCGGCCCTTCCCCCCCCCGAAATAGTAATAACGATTACGAGCGTAATTTTTCACCCGTGATATAAATAGGTATAGTCAAGAAATGATCCCCTAATTTCACTCGTCATCTTTTGATTACACTTGAAAGCAGTAAGTGTTAGCAAGAGCCATAATCATGGCTTTTGGTGTTAGAAAATTGCTCCATCAACCATGATCGTAGAAGCAAATGTGGTGCCTAGTAGAATCCTTTATTAGACTGGCTCCGTTATCTCATATAATGACAAAAACCATATTCCCAAAAAAGGATTACTGCTCTCTGGTCACGGTTTTAACTGAGAACGAATATCAAGAACTCAAAACACAAGGTCATTCTAGAAAGGACACTAGCCACTTCCTTTATTCAAAAGAGACAGATGTCAATTTGTTTTGTATGCGGCTTGCTATTTCCTGCTCCTTTGAGTAAAATTCCATTCAAACGAAACTTCAACTTGAAGATAGTGAAATTTAAACAAGCTTTAGCATTCAGGAACGACTTCTGTGACGTCACTCTGTCCTAATAATTGATTAAATGATTGGCCGATAAGTTTGGCATTGTCTAAATTTTTAGACGAGCGAGGCTAGAGGAGAAAAAGTGCCACATTATTTTCGGCCGCTAATAAACTTTTGCTCAATTTTGCTCTTGGCAGAGTGACGTCAATCATCAATTAACAGTTTTCAGTTTTCGATGCTAAAGATTCCGTAAAGGAGAATTTCAGTCGGATGGGGATGGATTTTTGAGTGCCAGGAGAACGGTCAGTGACTATATAAACACCAGAATGCTTGCCTTGAATTGCCTAGAATGCTTTTTTCAGAGTTAAACAGTTGATTGCAGGTCGATGATCGGATTTTTATTATGAGGGCTATTTTTTATTTTGTCTTAGTTTATATAATTAGTGTTCTATTTTTTTTACGTCAATCTCAGTTAGATTTTATACATGAAAGTCTCGTAGTTTTCCACAACAATAAAAAAGACTGAAGGATTTATTAGTAGCCGAGTGACATAGAATGAACTGTAGTTTTTACCTCTAGATCGCCTAATACAATCATAGTCCCGAGTCGAACACAGCGGTACCGTCTTTGGACCTTAAAGGAAAACAACTCAATGAGATAAATTAGAGAAATTACAAGAAAACAAGTCAATACTTTAATTTTCCGTTCACTATCTCGTTGTTGCAAAGCAACTTGCCTTTTCAATGAAAATAATGCCCAAAATTCCCGATTTCACGCAAATCAAAACTTAACGGGAACAATTATATACCATTGATCTTTAAAGACGAAAAAGCTAACCCTTTTTGATCAAATTATTTTAAGGTTTAAACTCGAAGCTTTATGTAGTGTAAAATAATAATAATTTACTTTAATTTACCGGTATCACTAGTAATAATACTACTACTACTACTAATAATAATAACAATAATAATAATAAATGATGGTTTATTAACAGCATTTCCATAAAAATAGGCTCTACGTTTGCTAAGAAAATATAAAATATATAGTATATATTCAGCTAGAAGAAAAAAAGACATATGCGTGGTAAAAAAAACAAACAAAAAAAAAGGAGAAAGAACGAACGTTGGTTGAGGTTGCTAACCTATTAACTGACTGAAAAACTAACTACCTAACAATGATCAAAATACTGTAACGCCACGATTCCCGGTTAAAACATGGCGTTAAGAGAACAACACATGTTTAATCTGCTACTCAACTAGTCTCACAATCATTTCTTCGCACATGGTTATTACGCCATGTCACGTGACTTACTTAGAGGGGTACCCGCGGGGTTTGCCTCGCGCCACACTACTCCCCCCCCTACTTAAGCACTGTCCCACTGCTGGTCCACTATTTCACAGATAGTTTCCGAAAACAACTTCAATTAGACGAAACAGATCAAGTCTCAAATGTTCGTTCATCAACGTGCCAAGCGTCTACAGTTCTTAGGTAATGAAAGGCATTAGCGTATACTTGTCTAGTTGCCTAGACTGTCCTATAATTCTTATCAGTCCCTGAACATTCAGGTTAATCAGTCACCCAAGTTCCGAATCGACATGGTGGCTTTCGCTGCCTTGACGGTCTCCCACAAACACTTGAATCAATCCCAGGTAAACCTTGTACAGTCGACTCAGCTGTTTGACAGCCGACACCCGCCTGGTTGAGGTCATGTGCAACAGAGGTTGTCAATTTCGGACGAGGCTCAGGTTTCCTCACATTCTCAAGCTTGTCACCGTCATCATCTCCAATGAAATCAACATTCTGGAGTCTCGTGGAAACATCATCCTTGTCTTCTTCTGTAGATTCCGTCTCGTCGCGCTCAACTCTCTCTCGCGTTAACCGGAGCTGACTGTCCCTCGTCGACGAAATTTGAATCCACAACCGATGTCTGTCTCCCCTCTTCTCTTGGGCTCGATAACCGCGTCTGCTTTCTCGGAATCCATCTCTCCAGTGGGGGTCCCAGGTAAGGCTTTAATCTGTCTANCTTTCGCTGCCTTGACGGTCTCCCACAAACACTTGAATCAATCCCAGGTAAACCTTGTACAGTCGACTCAGCTGTTTGACAGCCGACACCCGCCTGGTTGAGGTCATGTGCAACAGAGGTTGTCAATTTCGGACGAGGCTCAGGTTTCCTCACATTCTCAAGCTTGTCACCGTCATCATCTCCAATGAAATCAACATTCTGGAGTCTCGTGGAAACATCATCCTTGTCTTCTTCTGTAGATTCCGTCTCGTCGCGCTCAACTCTCTCTCGCGTTAACCGGAGCTGACTGTCCCTCGTCGACGAAATTTGAATCCACAACCGATGTCTGTCTCCCCTCTTCTCTTGGGCTCGATAACCGCGTCTGCTTTCTCGGAATCCATCTCTCCAGTGGGGGTCCCAGGTAAGGCTTTAATCTGTCTAAGTGAACGACCTTAGGCTTGGCCTTTCGGCTCTTCTGAATACGGTACACCACATCCGATAGCACCGATATTACAAGATAGGGTCCTTCCCAAGGACAGTCAAGTTTGGCGTTTCTCCCCTTCTTCCTCCAAACGTTATGCAGCCAAACAGAAAAACAATAACAAATGGTCTACCGGAAAGCCGTTTGTCGTAGTTCCGCTTCTGCCGTATAGCTGCCTTATTCAAATGACGCCTGGCCAAATCATGCGCACTAGCCAATCTCTTTTGAACAGCTTGTGCATAGACCGTCTTGAGTGGTGATGCATCAAGTGGTCTCTCAGTTATGACATCCAGGGGAACCTCCAGTTCCCTACCCAACATCAAGAGGTTAGGTGAAACCCCGGTTGACACATGAACAGCACCTCGATAGGCCATCATGCAAGTTGGAAGTTGTAGATCCCAGTCTGTCTGGTCTTGCTGGATCTTCCCACGTAACATTTCAGTGAGGGTCCTGTTAAAACGCTCCACCTGTCCGTCAGACTGGGGATGCAGTGGAGTGGTGCGGGTCTTCTCAATGTCTAACAGCCTGCAGACTTCAACAAACACCTTTGACTCAAAGTTAGTTCCTTGGTCGCTATGAAGCTGACGGGGTACACCGAAGCGACAAATGAACTCGCTCACAAGCTTCTCTGCAACAGCGGTGGCCTCCTGGTTGGGTATTGGATAACTCTCTGTCCATTTAGTGAAATAGTCACTAACCACAAGTATAAACTTGTTCTTTCGCGGGGTTTCTGGCAGTGGGCCAAGAATGTCAATCGCAATTCGTTCCATGGGAGCTCCCACCACGTACTGCTTTAACGGAACACGACGTTTGCGTCCCCAAGCTTTCTTAGACCCACGGACATGGCACCTGGTGACCAATCTGTGAACTGCTGAAGTAAGTCCTGGCCAGTAAAAACGAGATTGAAGAGCGCCTAGGGTCCTTCCGTATACCACGATGACTTGCAGTCGTATGACTATGATGAGCATCAAGGGCAGCCTGTCGAAGACTCTCGGGAAGAATGACCTGGTCAATAATCTGATCACCTCCGTCACTTTCCCATTTGCGGCAAAGTACACGGTTTCTGAAGAGCAGCTGGTCCCACTGTGACCACAAGGTCTTCACAGCACAACTCTGAGGCGACACATCTTCCCACAATGGTTTTTCTCTGCCGGCTTCCTTCTAACCAATAATAACCTTGAGATCAAAGTCAGCTTCCTGTTGTTCCCTCAAGAAAGTTGAACTCCAGGTTGGTTCTAACTTGACAGTGGCACAAAGAGCACCAGCAGGTTCTTCATAATTCACAGGTTGTTCGTTGTCCTGGCAAGGGACATGCATCACAGTCTGAACACCCACATCAACAAATGACGCTCGCTCCTGTGACTTCCAACCCTTAAACCACTTACAACGGACATCACAGGGTCTACGGGAAAGTGCATCAGCATTCAGATGTCGCTGTCCTGGTAGGTACTGGATCTCGCAGTCGAAAGTACTCAAGTAATCCATCCACCGTGCAAGTTGTGACTCGGGATCTTTGGCCTGGACAACAAAACGCAAAGGGGCATGATTAGTTCGAATGCAGAATCTTGTACCTTGTAGGTAATGCCGGTGTTGCTTAACAAACTCAACGATTGCCAAGAGCTCACGACGGGTCACACAATAGTTCCTTTCAGACTTGGACAATGTCCGACTTGCAAACGCAATGGGTTTTTCCACCCCGTCCTGAAACTCTGACAACACTGCCCCAATGCCATGGTCTGACGCATCTGTGTCTAGCACAAACTTTTCCTCCCTAGTAGGGTAGGCTAGGACTCTACCGGACGTAAGTAAACCCTTCAGCCTGTCAAAAGCCAGCTGACATTGCTCTGTCCAAGCAAATTCCGCCTTGGCTTCCGTTAGCTTGTACAACGGCTTAGCTATGGTCGAGAAATCAGGGATGAATCGGCGGTAATAAGAGGCAAGTCCAAGGAAACTTTTGACCTTCGTGCTGTTTTCTGGGGTGGGCCAGGTGCGAACTCGCTCCACCTTTTCAGGGTTTGCAGCAATGCCTTCGTCCGTGACCACACGTACGAGGTACGAAACCCGTTTCTGGAAGAGAAAACACTTCTTTGGCTTAAGTTGTAGTCCTGCCCTAGCTAGTCGCTCGAACACCTCTTTCAACCGTTCTAATTCTTCTTCAAACGTGCGTCTCATAACTATCACATCATCAAGATAGGTCAAACAAATCTTCCAATGTAGGCCCTTCAAAACAAGTTCCATCAATCTGGCAAAGGTGCTGGGTGCTTCAAACAGGCCGCTCGAAGTTACGAATGCTGCCGTCTCCTGGGTGCCCGCATCTCTTGCCACTTGCCAATAACCTGAAGCAAGATCCATAGTTGAGAACCATCGGGAACCACTCAAAGCTGCAAGAGAATCATCAACCCGAGGCAATGGGTAGGCATCCTTTACTGTCACTGCGTTAACCTAGATTTCTGAATGATATATGAGCAAGATTTCCAGGTTACATTGTCATCTACAAGAACACCAAGAGCCATAGTGTCGATTTACTGAGTAAGACTATTTGTATCACCGTAGTTCATAATACCGGCAATACTGTGTTTCATTCACATTACTGAGTCATACACACAAACGGAAGTAAAATGGCTTAGAAAAAAAAATTAAAGAAATTAAAACTATTCTAAACCTGGAAATCCAGGACCACGGCATCCACATTGTTTGATGGTGTAGTTTGAGGAACACTCGAATGCACAGCCGTCCTTTGTGTATCTTTCAACTGCCATAAGTTTCAATTGCCTGCAGTTCGTTTTGTAGGGTGAAGGAAGTCTCTTGATCTAAGAAAAAGGTACATAGAGAATACTTCATGCAAACTGCTGGCGTACGGTATTTACGCACGAGTTGTTGACGTATCAGAAATCGAACGAGTGAGCGCAGAGAACGAGTAAGATTTCTGATACAAAAACAACGAGTGCGTAAATACCGTACAAAGCACTTTCCATGTGGTATTGTTTTTATTATATACGTACTGAGACATTCATCATTTTGGCGGCCTTTTTACTTTAAATCTTCAAAAATGCTAAAAATGGCCGCTACACACTTACCGCAAAATGACAACGAAAACGAAGTATCAGCTTTTAAGTAAAAACGTTTGCTAAAAACATAAATGACGGTAAGGATATGAGATAATCGAAGAACTATAAGTACTCTTAACTGTTTGTTCTTAATGCACAATTGAAAATCAGTGAATTTAAGTAAAATGGCCGGTTTTAATATAAGCTTAAGCTTATTAAATGAAAGGCAAAGTAGCTCCGACAAAAAGCACAACAAAAGCTTACGTCTCGTTCTGTTTTTCCCTTTCCGCTGTTTTTTCGCCGGCTCTCTACCGTTTTCTTTATTGACAGTAAAACACATGAATCTATTCCTCTCCATTACCGTAATGTTTTTCACTTTTTTAGCGAGAAAAACTCTTCGAGTAAAACTTTTCTCGTTGAAAGTGTGCGAAGCGGCGCTGCAAGTTGCAATAAAAGGCGAGAATTTTGGCGCGAAACCCGCACCTCTGTGGCTTCTGATTGGACGTATCACTTTTCTCACACGTGAAAAAACATCGTTCGCGATTCTGATTGGAGGTATCATTCTTTTCACGTGTGAAAACCATCGTTCGCTTCTCTGATTGGCTAGAACTAATTGCGTACGAAAATTTACGACGTAGCTTTTTGGTGAGTATTTCTCAGTATGTATATAATAAAGTAATATACCAGATATTTCGCTCGTTTTGATTGGAAGTCGTCTTTCCTTTATGAGAATTAATGATATATAGTGATCCACCTCACAGAGTTGTTCATTACGTCGCACAGAGCTGAACAGGTTTCAAACATTATACCAGAAAAGGCCGACTGAGTTAAAATTCGACAAAATCAGTTTAAATTTAATTTTGCGAAATGCTGAACAACAAAAATTACCATGCAAAAATAATACTAAAGAGAATTTTTTTCCGTTTTGGCCGTTTCGGTCTGAAAAAGAGTGTAGATGTTGCCTACTGTGGTCTGGAATCAGGTACGGTTTTCGAGCTGAGGGAGCTGCGGGAGTGTGCGAACGTATTTGTCGTTTCCATTCCAAATAAATAAGAAAGAGTAATATGTCTAAACTAAGGAATGATGTCATAACTTTCTGCCTATGGATTTTGAAGGCCTGGTCTGAAAACGTAAAAAAATTACATTTTTTGGTCTGAAATAGGGCGACGATTTACAGAAACGGGCGGTACAGCCCCATCAAGAATTCCAAGTAGTACCCCAGGGTCAGTAACTCACCTTTGTAAGCTTGATCAAGGCAGACGCATGGGTGCCAGGTAAGACATTGAAGCCGTCATAGCGGTTGATAAATGTATTTTGTTCGTGCACAATCACTTTCAAACCAGTAGAGAATTCGTTCAATGTGCTCTCGTTGGTTTGAACATCGAGTAGAATGCTAAGACCAAAATCAGCACCTTCATAAGTTGTATGATGCAATGGAATGTCATTTAAACCTGAGTTAAAAGTGAAGCAGAGCCCTTCTTGGGTCAGGTGCGGAACAAAGTCCTTATCGGAACATGTGATTACAGATTTGAAACGGCAGTAGAGGACTAACATGCTACGCATTTCATGGCCATATCTGATAAGAAATTCCTCTTCATTGTAAAAACGTTCTGATGACCGATTCAGAGCGTCTATTATTTTCTGTTGAGTTGACTCATTGCAGCCTTTTACCAAAGCCGGTCCAAACCACTGATAAGCACACAAAAGAGCCTGGCCACAGGTGAGGTTTCCGCGAACACTGCGAGTTTCTCTGCATCCACTAATGTTTAATCCCATCTGATAAAACCTCTCATCATCATCAGCCACATCGATCTTAGATCGCATAAACATGTTCAGATTACAAATGGTTACGGCAGGGAAGGTCAAGCCATTAGTCGGTGTTTCCAGTGAAATTACTGTCTTGATCGGCAAAGAAAAAAATTTTCTTAAGCTGATGACGGAAAGAAATATGAACAAGCTTGCAGCGGCGAAAAGAAACAGAAGCCAAATAGTTCGCTTCAAAGGAGAATGGTTTCTATGGACGACGTGTCTAAGTCCGTGGAGAGTTGTACTGGAAGCAAATTCTGTCCATTCGTGGGAGTCGGGATTTTCTGGTTTCATTTTTTCGTTCGCAGAATTTGGGCCATCATCGATGGGCCTCACAACCACTTTCCTTACCATACCTGAAAATCAAACAATAAACAGAATAAATAGCAGCTATAAGTAAATACGTTAAATAATTCAGTTATTATGGCGTTAGGCCATCTACGGGGTGTTTTCTTGTTTCTCATATCAATTTTTCAAAATTGTATAATTTGTACTCGTGATAATGATATTTCAAAGACTCATAGAGGTAAACGGAATCTGTTTGACTCTTTCAGAATCAGATAACTATACAACTAAGTTTTTAATAAACTGTTTTTACTCCTGATGGCTGAAACCACATTTTTATCGATTTATAACCAAAAAGGTAAAAATCTATCCGTAAGAATCGCCTTTGGGTTTTAACATCGTCGTTAAGAGAAGATAACCAATCAACTTATGAAAGGATTCAATAAATGTTTAAAAAAAGATTGGACATCAAATGTCCAAGGTTTTCGGATGAAAAAATAACATCACTTTGGCTGTTAATTTTTTTTCCAAGCCTGCGGAGAAGCCTACCGATATCAGTTTATAACATGCAAAACATGAAATGTAAGGTTTATACAACACCCGTTTTGCGATCTGCTAAGAAAAATAAAAGAAAAAAGGAAAACGGCGATGAATTTTTTCGCCACTATCAGCAAAAGGAACAAACTTTTTGACTACATGTACATGTGCAGTTAATAGTTTTTGGCTTAAATGTAAATCTTTTTTGTTACGCAGCTTCGTGAAGTTGCATTGGCAAATTAGCAAATAAAAAATTAAAACGCTGCCCGCAAGAGTGATAAAATCTCTCAAAACCTACACTAACTCAGAACGAAGACTGTTGTCACTTTTAAAATGGCTACGACAATCCGATTCAGTATCTGTTTGTAATCAGTTACTTTACCTGAATTTCGCATAAAGCCGTCCGACTTACTGATAACACACTAATGGATATTAAACTCCTCGACTGTCCCACAAACTGAATCAGGGCAAAGTCTGACTGAGTAGGCAATTACTGTTTGTTTTAAGCAGTTTACATAACTTGGTATGTCGCCCGAAAGTTACGATTGTTAGAAAGCCAGCGAGGTAGCAGTTCGTTGAGGTTCACAGTTGGTTGTTTGACTGTACAACTAACAAAACAGCTGCTCCATCACCTTGCCAAAAAACCTGTTAATTTAATTATGAGCAATTTCATAAATTTTAGGGTTGATTTCAGTCTCATGATAATGATGCATTACCAAAGAGAAAAACGTAAAAACAGAATATAAAAGAAGAAATATCGTTGTGTAATGTTATTGGATGGCGTCAAAGGAAATAAAAAAACGTTATTTGTTGCTTTCCTCAAAATACTGAGGTCGGTAATCCGTTATCCGATTTGCTTTTTGTCATATCTCTTTGTCGTCATTCAAATATTTGTGCCCATGTGTAAGAAAAATAAGGATAGAAACACATATAAACAGTGTGAAATTAATTAGGTCCATGCCAATTTTGTTCATTTTAGTGGATTTTGACGTCAAGATCCAGTCCTCTATACTGTATTGACGTGTTGTTTAATTAGTAGCCTGATATGGTTTTTGTGTCTCCTTGATGTCAGCCTTTCGAAAAATGTGACCCCACCAAAACAGACTGCAAAGAAAAAGGTTTATTTTTATTCTCCTTGTGATTTTAATATGACACGGAAAAGCGAGCATTGCGGATTTGTTTGTTTTCCCAGTACATTACTATTTTCTACTTTAATTATTTTGCACTTATAGATTCTTCTGCCTTCTGCATCAACTTAGTTCCCAAGGTCCTTCTTCGTTCTGTCCCTTGGAGTGAGCATAAAGGTGAGAAGGGAGGGAAAGATACCGTAAGAGACAACCCTGAGACACTCATGTGTCAGATTTCTCAGCGTTAAATCTTTCGAAAATTTCAGCACTGAACAATACAGAGTGAGCAAGATATAGCGGATACCCACATATGATTGGCTAAACGAATTAGCAATTTTTCCCTTGTTCTCGAAAAAAAAAAAGTAATAATAACAAATACTGCGACGACGACGACGATGATGATAATAAACATCACTTAAACAGAACAATGTTGTTATCTTTGTAATCTCATATATCTTACAAATCATTCATCCTTTCTTGAGGAAGTGAGAGAGGACACGCGAACGCTAGTTGCTTTTGCCTAAATATCATGATTTGAGTTACAGTGCAAGGGAATGGGACTGGCAGAATATGTTTGCTATAGTGAGATTTCGTTGTACGATGATTCTTTTCCATATATTTTACTAAGAATATCGTTCGGTTAATCTGAGGACTTCGTTATAAGAGGTTCGCTATATCGAGGTTCCACTGTACCATCAGTACGTCAAATGGCGAGACTTATAATAATTTGAGTAAATGACATGTTCTGACCTGAACTAAAGCCTTTCCAGAAAACAAAGGGGTGTGAGACGCCTCAGTATCGATAAAACCTGGCCTTCCGAGTCTTTATATGCATCGAAATAATACAAAAATAATACGGGTTGTGATGGGACGATTGTTACCTAAAATCAATACTCTCATTACTTAAAATTGTGATTTTGTTTTGAAATTGTGAATATACATTAGTACTAACGCGAGTTTTAAAATAGTCTGCGAAGCGGACGGAGCGCAAACAAAATCTTGCCCCTCTTAATATTTCATGACAGGTTATTATTGCAACGAAAGTTCCAAGTGCGACAAAGGTAAATAATGATTCGATGAAAATATTTCAGTACTTGAGAAGATCGTCAAAAAGAGGTGTTATATTTTAAAAGAGAGAGAAAAAATAAAGATGACGGGTGGCATTTAGAAAAGACGTCTTTTTAAGGGGCATTTCCGCTGACTCATTACAAAGTACAGCATCTAATATATGTAGAGTATATTGTCACCCTAGGAAGAATCAATTTGTATGCTGCCATGCTAAGTATATTCAACGAAGGCAAATCTTAGGATTATGAATGGACACAGTCGAGCTGAAAGGAAGCCTAGTTACATGGAGGCAGTACATAATTCCAAAACAGAGGAACCAGTAAAGTTGAAAAGCCTTAAAAGGAATTCAAGTTCTAGCGATTGTGAGGCGGCTGTAAAGGCAAATTCAGTTTCTGGTGAGTAACACCTTCAAAACAATCCGGGTTGATACATCGGTTGATGATAATTTAAATCACTCGAGGTTTTCGAAGGGTTTGTCGGTTTTCTAGAACTGGTTGGATTTTGAATCATCCACAGCGTTAATATGGGAAAATAAAATTCGATTCCTATGATTTTAACGTATGCAAGGGTAGTAAATGTTCGAAACGGATATTAATTAATTCGAATTTTGTTTTCGCGTGATTTAACAGACGTAAACAAAGAGATGTTTTTCTAAGAAAAATTTTCTCATATATTGAATTTTTGACCCCAATTTAGATAACTGCCATCAACCACTGATCGACATTGAGATGATTCACCACAGTTCTTGCTCCAGTTTTTTTTTAATTTGTAAACTTTGTTCTTTATTGAAAGATGCCACCCACATTCATCTCATGGCAGTTTTCGCGTGACCAAGCTCATTTTAAAGGGATAAAACGAAGCCGTAAATTCATTCCAGCGTCAGTTTAGTGGATAATACTAACGGTGTCTCACATCCTTCATCATGTTGAATGATAAAAATAAACTCATTGCGTTCAACCATGTGCGAACAACAGGTTCTTAGAGTTACAACATAGCTTAAAGGTGGCAGTGAACCGTGAATAATTTCCATGACTAAATCTCGCCCTCTAATGCTATCAAAAAATTGTACATGGATGTCTGAAGTCATACCTCGTTTTCTTTCAACAGTTCTTACTAATCGCACTTTTAGGGCAACGTCGAGTAAGGAGTTAAAGACCGCATACAACAAAAATTTCTTTTCCCATGTTTTCCTGGTCGCCATAGTAACATGTCAGCTATTTTGAAAATCATTGTCTTATTTTTATCACCTTGCCTTTAAGTTTGTTACCAAAAAAAAAAAACCCCTGAAGGCAATATACGATGTTTAAAAAGTGCGCATAATTCTTTAAATAAGTTTTATGTAGTCTAAAAATGGCAAATAATTTGCATAAGACAAATCATGTTTCCAAACCTCAGTGGAATCACCATTAACGTCCTGGAGTACAGGCAAGTGGCCAGGAGCCTGTCCTGAAGTGGCCTATTAATAGTGGTTTATCTCCCAGGAGAGTAAGTCCACACAAATATGGAAACATAATCTTAAGCAGAAACGTCATTTTTCTTTCAAAAAAATCAAGCGACGGGAGCGGCATTACTGGTCCATAATCAGTGGTCACCTTCTATTTCGGACTGTGATACCCATCTTTGTGGTTTACGGCCACGAGCCCGTGATTTATTTCTTTTACCAGCAGCGTAGAGTAAAAGAATAAATAACTAAATAAAGCGCTATAAAAGAAGCTGAAAAAGTCACCTTCCAGATTTTCACTACGATTTTCCTTCATCGTTATATTAAAATTTGGCCAATCTAAAAAGTGTATCAAGAGCGTGATCAGGGTGGCAAAGGGGGTACCTATCACGCATCACGGAAAAATAAAACACTGAATATTAACCACATTATAAGCCCGGTGGCTTCTCTTGGGCCTCCTCGCCATGAGAGTTCAAATCATTAGCTTTTTTTTTGCTTTGTATAAACAAAACAAAACAAAACAAAACAATAAAACATTAACAAGTATCCTAATATCATTTGATCCTGAGGAAATCAGAGGTCGAGGAACGAGAAAAAGGCAAGAAGTTGGTGTCATAACAATCTATTTTTAATGTTCGAATGATATTAATCATCACGGAAATTTCAAAGAAAAATCACGCGTCACGCGTCAGGTGAAAATAGTATGTAAATCACTCATCACGCTGCAATGTCCAATCACGCCTCAAGATTTGGGTCCGATCACGCGTCACGGAAAACCCCTTTGCCACCCCGCGTGATGGCTACTGAATAGAAAAGTGGGCCGCAGCGGCCTAGCTAATAGGCAGAGAGTGGCCGCCTGATAGAGGTTCAACTGCATCTTCACATGAACCAAATCG